TCATGTACGTTAAGATTAAACAAACTAAAGCAGGCTAAAATCACTTTGAACAAAGAATAATAGTATTGCTGGATTTCACATCCTGATACTAAGGGATCAGCACTGGGTACTGTAGTGTCTCTTTCTCTTCAAAGTGTTTGTTCATTTCATCATGCATTATGAGATCAGTTCTCATAAACTGTTTATAGGTTCTACGCGTGCATGAGTCTGAACATGCAGTTCTATCCTTTCTATATTACATTCTGGATAATAAGCTCTGAGTAGAAATAGCTCAGAATTGATCCAAATTTTGGCTGCACTGCTTATCCCTCATATGATCTGGGACTCAGAGGGCTTTCTTGCTCTATAAAAAGAAAGATAATAAAACCTTCTGAAATACAGTAGGGAAGATAAACACAGTAACATGGGGAAGGGAGGCCAGTTTCAGTGGCACGTTCCCACTCATACTCCATCAGTGACAGTCAATTATGCCACTGAACTTCCTCTTGCTTTTATTTTATGGAGGTTTCTTTTTCCATGATTTTCCCAGCTCTTATCAAGTTCCCAGTAGATGCTCAATAAATGGCAGGTGTTGGTTTTTATGGTACCTGAACTTTGACATTCATTTTGCTGGCTCTTTCGTGATTTTTCAAGTTCTTATCTTCCAGTTGCATAATTTCTGTTTCATGTATATTTTTCTCATTTGCCGTCTTGCCTAAATTTATTAAGCCAACATGCGGCAGAGGAGACGTATTTAGGTTGCTGTCATCTTTTTCTCCCTTTTTAAAGTTAAACTTGAAAGCATTCAATTGCAAACCCAGCCAGCTGTGGCGGCTCATGCCTGTAATCCAGGAATTCATGAGGCTAAGGCAAGAGGATGGCAGCTAAGCAACATAGCAAGACCTTTTTTCAAACAAAACAAAAAAGCTGCAAGCCTATTTTGCTCCTCTTGACCATTCATACAAGAACACACACGTGACCATGTTTTTAATGTCTCTAGGGAGGTCATGCAGTATCTAATACTCTCTGAGCCACAGTTACACCCAGAATACATGAGAAGATCAATGTCAGGAAAGTTGTGACCTGACTTCTCCAAATTTTCTCATCGTGAAACCAAATCTCCCTCAGTTCTGCTAATTTCATGTTAATGTTTCAGTCTGCCCTTGAAGCTTCCCTTCTATTTGGGGATTTTTTTTTTTTTTTTTTTTTTTTTGGCAAGGAAGTCTCACATTCACACTTCCAATATAATTGCATTTTTCCCCCATTGAATTTATAGCTTTGCATTTTGTTTTGTGGACTCTGGCAAACACCGTTAGACCCTCTCTTCTTTCAGAGGGATGTTGTGGGAGCCAGCTGTACGTGGGTTTGGCTTCTTTCTCTTTTATTTTTATTGTTCAGGGTCATTCCATCCCTGTTTAGATCTTTGAGAGTTTAGGAAACTCGTGAAGATGTTTGAAACCTGGAGGAGAAAAAAAATCTAGGCTCCAAACAGACAAATTCCCAATCAGAACTGATACATTATTATTCCAACTGCAAGCCTGAACAACTCTTTTCAAGTTTTAATTAAAGAAATACATGTGAAATACAGATGAATTTAATACATTTGATATGATTTCCCCAGGCAATTGGTTTTTGCAATCTTGAAGGATTAAAAAGGATTTTCTCCCACTTGGTCTTTTCATTACCTTAAAGCTGACCTGATTTCATCAAACATTCTTCGTCCTTCCAATGATTTTGTTGGGTTTTAAGCATTAAAGAAATTACCTTTTTCTAATCTTACTGGTAGTGTGTAAAGACATATATATCACTCTGAATTTCAAAACATCTTCTCTTTCTTTTAGATATGTCCTGCTGTCTTACTTTATAGTATTTCAGGCAATAAAGAAATATGTCCAAATTAATATTGTTTAAACGCTTTTCTGTGGCTGATTCCAAATGTTAGTCTTAGGGATAATTATTTGCTCACATCTAGCTTCATTGCTAGAATGCAGCAACTGAAAGCTCTTCCATGGCCCTTCTTTTGTAACATAATAGAGCTGGCATATGCATAAATTTTTCAATTTAATTAGTTTCAGTTAGATACATTTAAAATTAAAATTACAAAGAAATGCGCCTAATAGAAAAAGAAGCCCAAAGCCCAAAAGAAAGAATGATTGATTCTGCTGTTTAAAGTATCAAAGAATAATGATAAAATTTGTTGAGCACCTATTAAGTTCCAGGAGCCTTATATCATTGTCTAATTTAATTAACCCAGGAGTGCGGTGTAGAGCACTTGCTTAGCATGGATGAGGCCCTGAGTGCAAAAAATTTTTTTAAATTAATCCACAATTCTGTACAGTGGGTTTGCAATGTTCTACATTAATAGTAGTTTATTTCCATTTGTTGCCCTGTGAGCATTTCTAGAAGTTGCTGGCAATCTTGAATATTGCCCAGTAAACCCACCCAATAATGCTATAGGCTCACTGAGCCCCAGGGTTTCAAGCAGCCACCACAGGACTGTGTACTGCAGTCCTCCCCTGGATACTGCCACAGCTGTACCAGCTCCCAGCAACCCCCAAGTATCAAAGTCTTCAACCAGCTGCGGAGTAGCACCCTCTCCTGCATGAGCTGGAATCTGTTAGGGGGGCCCCTAAGCAATGGCATCTACAACTGAACACCCCACCAAGTGCTTTGTCAAATTGTTCTTTCTGTTTTTTATTCCAGGGTTTTTATTCCTTTGAGCTAAGGCACACATCTACAGGCTGGACTGAGACCGATTTGAGTAACATGGCAATGAAGCTCTGAACAAGGAACCGTGTTTGGCTGTTTTCCTGAGAATGGATTACATCTAGGGTGGCTCTTCAGCCTAGGGCAAGTGGATACCAAGTGAGCGAGTTCCATCAATCACCTGGCACACTTATCCATGTTCAAACTCCAGCAAGGGTCACAGTTTAGGTTTAATCTATGAATACAAACTAAATTTATTTCAGATACGAGAAAACAAAACGGTAATTTAGGTGATTCATATGTTTAACAAACAGATAAAATTACATTCATTTTAGCTGTAAATTGTGTATGTGTGTGTATGTGTGTGTGTGTGTTAAGAATATCATATTGTCTTCTACAACTCAAAGAAGCACCCCACTATCTCAGGTACATCATTGTGCTTTTTAAATGCTTTCCTGCCATTCCAACCATCTGCTAAGGATAAACAAAAGTGACAATTCCTCCGTGTACACTCCAAGGAACTAATTACTGTCTTCTTTCTTTTTTTCCCAAGCTATCAACAGACATAACTCTAAGAAAGTAATCCTTCAACCACTCCAGGGGAATAAAACAAAGGTAATACCTGATTTTTATGGAGAAAAGTACAGATCCTTTACCAATATTGAAATATCATGCTCTGGCAGCCTAGGAAGTACCTGCCTCTTTTTCTTTTCTATTGTGTTTGAGGTAAGAGGGAAAAGATTAAACTATTGTCAGGGCCCAGAGAACTCTTACAACTAAGCTGCCTGGCTATTGTCATCAACACAGACATCCCATAGTTGTAAAGACTGTCACCTGGGCAGGAGTGCCAATGCAAGAAATCAGTAGGAAACAACAGATTTTTCAGCTACCCCTGGCAAGTAGACAACCTGTGCTTTCCGCCCTTCCAGGTACACAAGAACAATTAAAAATGGGCCTGGAAGGGGAGGAAAAAGGCTTTGCTTATCGGGTACATAATTTTACTTGGAGTGGTAAGAAGAGGGTCCTGGAAACAAGTGCACCTAAGAAAAGTGACAGAAGTCACTTGTCACCTGAGGTACCCCAGGCGCTGCTGCTAGACTAGACAGGTAACCTAGCGTTTTGGTGTCTCTGCAGTCAATGGGGTCAGCCAGCCTTGTGGTCTGAATGAGACTGCTTCAGTTCGTATTCCACACTTGTAGAAAGTCTACACATCATTCCCAATAGTTGACCAAATCCTTGAAGTCTTGCGTTGCCATGATCTCTCTTGTCTCACCTGCTGGCTCTGCAGATCGTGTGGCCTCTTATTTCTCTGTTTTTCGCTAATCTGGACACAGACCTGAGCTTCTCACCATAATGCCCACAATTAGGCATGCGGTTCAGGGCACAGATTTGGAGGTCTGGAAAAACCTAATCATTTTTATTAGTTTGAAATTCCTACTAGCATATAATGAGGAAGGTATAAGTTCACTTATTCATGCTGTAACGATGTTGAGAATGATTCTCAATGCTCAGAACAATTAGCCCTCAATAAATATCTGTCATATGAGTAAATATTTGCTAACTCATATTTATTTTAAACATCTCTCTCTTTACGTTCCCAACCTCTATACCACAAGGTCCTTCCTGCCAGTCACTTCCAGGCAGCTCTCAGTCTCTTGCCATTTTGTGGATTCCTTTATCTCTATTTTCTGTTTTTCTGACCCCTTTTCACTTCCTTCTACCTGAAATCACCCTGGAAACTCTAAACTTTTCTCATTTTATTATAGAAAAAATATATTTATTTATGCCTATCTCGGAAAGTTTGTATGTTCAAACGTATTCAGGTGCTAACCCACATCATGTAGGTTATCCTTGTCAATAGGATTGGTCATTGTTTCCTTCACAAGACAAAAAATAATAATAATAATTTAAAACAGGAATCATTAGCATTACATATATATGCCTTAGACATTTTGTCTCAAAATATATTTAGATCCATTTATTCACCAATCAATTGATGTCAGGCTAAGGAATTTTCTGTGAGCATGCACCTCTCGTTGGAGATTTAGATCAATTTTACCACTCCCTGTGAGTCCCCAGACTATTTTCAGTGTCTGAGGTGTCATGACAGATAACAAGTGTTCTAAATACAGAATCTTTCCTATTTTGGATTTGCTTGGTATTGCCTAGCAATTTTCTTAATAATTTGCCATCGTTTAAGATTTATAGTAGTATCCATGTTAGAGATTGCATAACATTTAATTAAGAACATTCATTAAATAAAATTGGCAAACTTGGATACAAACAGAGGGAGCCTTGGCATGCTTACAACTTACCTAGAAGGAGCAAAAGTGAATGTGTCCGTCACCAGCTGCAAGCATTCAGGGTGTGTTTTGGTTAATCTGCTGAGCTGGTTTAAGTCATCAACTAAGAAATATTTACCACAGTCATTTTCCTCAGCAATTTAGATCAGAATCTCTTGCTTAGCATAAAACTGTCATGTCTTAGTTTCACTGGTTCTTGGTAAAATTCCTTTTGAAAATTCATTCCCTGAGATAAAGAAAGCAAAAAAGGATTTCAATGGACCAAACAGCTGTGAGGCATAAACAGCCCACAGACATGAAGGTGGGCACTGAGGTAGAAAGCATCCAAGAGATCCATGTTTTGCAGAAACTAAGGAATGGCAAATGCAGGTAACTTACTCCACTGGCTTTTCCTTTACTGAGTTATTCCCTATATTGTCTCCTATCTGCAGAGGATTTTGAAGAGTCTCAGTCCATCCAGGTTGCTGTAACAAAATACTGTGAACTGGATGGCTTATAAACAACAGAAATTGATTTCTTACAATTCACTAGGCTAGGATGTCCAAAATCAAGGCACTGACCCATTGAGTGTCTGCAGAGGGCTGCTTTCTGGAACATAGGTCTTTTGGATGCTTCCTGATGTGGTGGAAGGAAGAGGCCTCTCTGGGGCATCTTTTAAAAGGGCGCTAATCCCACTTGTAAGACTCCACCCTCATGAATTAATCACCACCAAAGGCCCCTCCCCTTAATAGTTTAACATATAAATTTGGGAGACATTAACATTCAGACAGAGCAAATAAAGTCTCTTAAAGCTGCCAAATCAGATGTTCCAGTATTTGGTTTTGAGCCTTGTAACTCACAGCAGAACCCATCTCTCTTAAGTTACAACATATATTATAGTTTTATGATTTAAGCACATAATTTTGGCTACAGGAAGGACTGTTATCTTGGTTCTTAACATTTGAAATCCTTTTCCTGGCAGCATGCTATAATCAAAAGATTTCCACAAGTGTATCTACCTCTTTATTTTCTATTTTAATTTCTTTTTTATTTTTCTCTTCTTTGTATTTGAATCAAAATAATCTGGCAGTTTATGTCATCCACCCCGTGGATATGGCTTTTATACTTGTAACTTCTGGACCAAGTTTAAAAAATTAAAGAAGGAAAACAACCTACCATTTCCGTTTCTTCTCCTGCCATAGAAAACTGAGAAGTGCAATGAATTAACAATTAGAAAACAATACTTGAATCAAAGGTTGGCCACCAATGTTCAACACATAAGTCACCATCCACAGCAAAGCTGCACCATTCTTGTGACAAGCACATGGCTTTCAGTAGCCTAGTGTTTCATTCTTCCTGACATCCACTAAAATTCTCCAAGAGGCACCCATTCCCAACCAGTATCCATCATCCTGTGCAAACTTCCCTGTCCCATAAAATTACCACAACTTTTCTCTGGGTTGAAAGAGAATCTTGTGAACCCTGAGGGCCCACATCCTCCCCATAGGAGACTCAGGATTGAACGTGCCCTGTTCTGCATCAACCCTGCCCCAAGTATCAGTCCTTGATGCCAAATGTCCTGCAGCATTCTTTCCTCCCCTTACTGCTTCCCCTCTCCCAACCCACCTTGCCCCCTATCCTTTGTTCAAATACTTAACTTTGCCCCCTCTAATACCCATGCCATGATCCATACACTCCTTGACATCCATCACTTCAACAACTATGTCCTACATCACTTGGTTTTATTGGCTTGAAGAAGAAACGTAGTATTAAGGATGCAAATACATCACAGAGTGCAGAATACTCCGGATCTTAGGCTGTAATGTGGAAACATGAGTCATCACTTTATTATTTTAACCTGCACATATTCATTAGACACATTATTTTATATGCATGGTCTCCTTTAAAATATTTGAAAAGCAACCTCTGTTCTGTTGAGCCTCGTACCATGGAGCCATAACTTCCTCAGTCTCTTTTTGTCAATCATTGCCCTTTACTGAAGTCCTGATTATTCTGTTTCATCTACTTATGTGTGGATTTTTTTCAGTTTTTCTACTAATCTGGCTGATTTCAATACCCACTCCGTACCACAAACTGGACTCAGTTCCTCGAGTTCTTTAACTTGGAGACATTTTCTTTTCTCCAACCCCACCAACCACACTCAGCTGCTCAAATATGTGTTGCAAAAATCCACCCTCTAAGTCAAATACTACTTTCCAGGTATATTTGTTTTTTGGTCTACACCTCTCCCTCTTTGGATTTCCCATTTCTTCAAATTTCATGTTCATCCTTTTCTCTCACTTCTTCCTGCGTCCACTTCCCTCCTCATTCAGTTTAGAATTCACGGTCCACCTCTTTTAACTTTTTCAATTTTTAAAGCCATTTATACTTAATTGTTTCCACCTGGAAATTCTCCACACCTGAATAAGCCCAGGCACCCACTTCCTGTACCTGCTCCGGAACCTTGCTGGAGAAAATCACCTGGGCTGAGTAGGGCCAGAGAAGTTCACAGTCTCTAACCTTACTGCTCACTGTTACCAAACAGCCTTCAGCATGTCTCATAACCCTGTCACTCCCCCCAGCAACATTTTGAGTTCCTCCTTTCTACGCAAGCCTCTGTCTACCCCAGTTCTTCTTTCACTCTCAAGAAATGAGTTGCCTCCTGTTTCAGAAAGTTTAAATCATCATACGCAACACAAATTGATCTTCAGCCCACAAGACTAGCAATATGCGCACATACATTAAGAATCCTACAGTACTTTTTCACCTTGTTGAACATTCTGTTGCTTCCCACTCCCTATTCTGTCAGCCACCCTCTTCCTCCCCTTGCCCACGCCTTCTATAGTGCTCCTTCCTAGCAACATTTAGACAACACGACTTTCACCCTCCTCTTCTGAGGAGGAATGTAACTTCTGGTTATTGTCAGAGGTTGAGTAGATTTCCAGAACAGCATATTCTCCAGGTTCCTGTCTGCTATTAAATGCTTAGAATTATACACATTATACCTTTCACTTTTACTAATTGATGTTTGATTTGATGGAGTCCAAATTGCATTTCTTTTTGTACATAATCTGACTACTAGACCCCATTAGTTAAACCAAGAGAGTTTGGGTCTTCACAAGCAATTTCTAGCCTGTCCAGGAGACAGGATTTCCATCATAATCCAGGGTCTGTCCTGAGGAAGTCCATCCTTTTGTAGGCCCTGCAGTAGGGAATGCAACTCCCAGCTGAGATACAGAAGTCCCTGAAAGGTCCCTTCAAGTGATGTAATGAATAGCTATAGTGCAAACTTTATAGAAAACAATTTTGGTGGTTCACTTCTATTTTATTGAGACTGAAATTGCAAATAAGATTACTTCTATGAGAGGGCTAGTACTACTTAGAGTTCTTAGTTTTCACAATTTTTAGGTTTAAAATATAATTTCACTATACACGGTCATTAAGTCATTGTTGTGAACAATGACATTATTTGAGCAATCTCACACCATGCCTCTTTTTTAAAAATAATTAACTTACACAATTTAAAATAGGCAAAATCAGGGAACAAATCTTATCATCAGTGTGGTTAGTAATTTGCCTAATGTTTACTTTTAGTAAGAAATGGAGCTCAAAATTCCTGCTGAAAGATTTTGCATGTTTCATTTTTTAAACTTATCAAATAATATTTTGTAATGTAGCAGTATAAAACTTTTTATGATTTTAAGGATAGTATTACGATTCTCCATATATATACATATATATATATATAGAGAGAGAGATACATATATATATATATATATATATATAGTGAGAGAGACAGAGACACACAGAGAAAGTGACAGAGAGAGAGAAAGAGAGAAGGAGACTTTTTAGGGGAAATGACTCACAACAGGCTGGCAGGAAGCCTGATGCTTTGGAATACTGCCAGTTGTGGCTCAGCCCGTATCTAAAAGCCTGAGATACAGAAAAGCTATTAATATAACTCTCAGTCTGCGGGAGAAGGATTAATCACCATGGGAGTGGCTCGTGTAAGTCCTGGAGTCTGAAGACCGAGAAACTGGAGTTCTGGGAGGTAAAGATATTGGAAGAAGAGTGCATCCCCCGCCCTCTCACTGTTTTCCAACTTCCATTTAAATCCAAGATCTCTTCCCAAAACTCCATGGGGGCTACTCTCACAGTTGCACTGATACCCTAAAATGCAGTGTCCACAGACAAAAGTCACGCTTTTCTCTTTTAAATGTGCATCCCCTCCAGAATTCTAGAGCTCTGCAAAGTGCTTTCTTGTCTACCTAGCTGACCACATCAGGGATCACCCTTGATTCCTCCCTTCCCCTGATGCATCAAAAACAGTCAAGTAGTAAGTCCCTCATTTTCTTCTGTAGATGTCTCTGGAAACCATCTCCAAGACCATAAGCCTCCTTCAACTCTCATTTTCACTACAGAAACAACCTCTCCACGCCTATCTCTTTCCAGAGCATTCCTTCCATAGTGGGCCTACGGTGATCTTTTTAAAATTTATCCCTTTCTTGACTTGGGATATAATCTCAAATGTTTTAGAGCTGTTCCTTAAAGATTTTGTAGTACTGGGCATTGAACTAGGGCCTTCTTACTGAACTAGATGTGCAACTTGGTTTCAAAATATTTTATTTTGAGACAGGATTCCTAGGGTTTTCTAAGTCTCTAAATTTCACAGGCTGGTCTTGAAATTGCAACCTTCCCAACTTGGCCTCCCATAGTGCTGGGATAACAGATGTGCACCATCACACCCAGCTGAAATTTTAAGAGCTTGTGGAAGGCTCCATGGTCTGCCCTCACTGCCCTGTGGCCTCCGCATTATCACTTCATCCCCAACTCCCACACTCTCACCAGGCTGTACCTCTTACAGCTCCTCACACACGCCGTGCTCCCTCCTCCTGTGCTCTGTCTCTCAATTCAGCTAACACCTGTTTGTCCTTCAGGGATCCATCTAAAGGTTACTATTTCAGGGAAGCTTCTTTGACCTTCTGGAATAAATTTGATTAATCTGTACATTTTCATTGTTGAATTTAGTTATTCATACTTATTTGGACAATGTTTGTCTTCCCTGCTAGAATGCACGTTCCCCGGGGACCTTAATGTAACTACATCGCTGTGCCCCATATATGGTCAAGTTTCCCTGTAGAGCTTTTGATTGGATGATTGAGACACAGCCCTTGCTGAGAATTCCGTTTTGATGTGCAGTGAAAAACCCAAGTATTGGGGTTGGCATTTAGCTCAGTGGCATAAGCGTCTACCTTGCAAGCATGCAGTCCTGAGATCATCCCTGGTGCCCCCCCCAAAAAAACCAAGTACTAATAATCTATCATATCTGTGGAAAGCATTAGCCCTTTGACCTTTATTTTCCATTGCACAAAGCTTGTTATATAAAACAGACTGTCCTCTTCCTCTTTTCCCTTTTCTCAGTGATGTATCTCACACTGATGTACTTTTATTGGGTGAGGTACAGGTGATCTCCACGTTTATAACTCTGACCTTTCTGTGAGCAAACATCCAGAGTGAACTTTGGTTTATCTCATACCATAATGCAGCTGCTATTTGCTGGAAGCAAGCAGGTTGGGTTCCAGGCCCATGTGACCAGTGGGACATGACCAGAAAGAGCGTGGGGAAGGGTAGAACCAAAGACTCAGCTAGAGGCTGTTCTGCTGGAGTTCCTGTGTCACTGGAAGCCAGAGCAAGCCAGAGCCTGTGTCACTGGAAGCCAGAGCAAGCCAGAGCACCGGGAGTATGGTTGGGAGGAGAGCAAGGTCATGAAGTCACCACTGCTGGGCCTGGTTGTGTGGTCTCTGCTCCTCCAGCTCCTCCAGCCGGGGCTGGCGTTCTGGAACTCCCAGATAAGTCAGAACTGCCACAACGGTAGCTACGAAATCACCGTCCTGATGATGAACAACTATGCCTTCCAAGAATCCCTGGAGTCCTTGAAAACAGCAGTGAATAAGGGATTGGACATTGTGAAGCAGCGTCTGCAGGAAGCTGGTAAGAACACAGTAAATAATCCTCTTCTGTAAGTTACCATGTCTGGGGACAAAGGTTGCTAAGAGAAAACCTTGTGTACTTCGACTGGTCATCCAACCATCTCCAAGGATCTCCTTGAAACTCCTGTGTATTTCAAAGCAGTAGATTCGCAGGGAGAAGGATTTGACCCCACTTGGTGTACTAACTCATAATCCGCCCTGCTGTGCTCTGGGAAAGGCTTTAGCTATGAAGTGTAAGGCGTTCAGCAGGGAGACACCCCAGTTAACACTGGGTTTATTGCCTTGTTCCAAGGAGGCACTGTGTTTCCTTCTATCGCAGCTGGGGGCAAAATTTGGAATGGACCAGAGCAAACAAGTAAAATTTATAGGGACACTTACTCTTTCTCTGGGCTTTTCATTCATTTTTCCGTGAGCTTGTTGGCTCTTTATATGGTTGCACAAAGGACCCACAGCATACATTCGCAATCAACCTGATTGTTCCAGCTACCCACTATATCCTTTAATTATAAAAACCAATTGTATAATTTTACATAAGTGAAAGAGAAATTTGTCCATGATAACGTTTAGCTACTTTGATGTTTCCAGTCTCTTTTCCATGCTTCTTAACTTCCATGAGTATCTTGTGAGTGGGTATACAACATCCCTTAGGAGAGACGTCACCCAAATCACCTAAAACTTCATATGACCGAAGTCCATCCTTTTTAATTTCTTGTGATTGCCTTTAAAATACCATAATACACATTTTTGGTATATACTTATTTTATTCCCTGAAACTAGATTTCCACAAGTAGATTTATTGAGTTGATAAGTATTTGATACATTACAGTGGTTATTTGCAGTTTTAAGGATAGTACTCTTAATTTTCTCCATTTAATATATGGCAGAAATAAGAGCAAAAAAGCTCATATATGTATAATAACTTACTTCTGTGCATATGCCATATCTCTCCTGTTCTGTCTGAACTAAATTTAGATGTAAATGTGTGGATCAGACCCCATTATTTATTGAGGTAGTGGGGTATATTGGAAAGAACAACTGGATTTGAAGTCTGAGGAACTAGTTTGTGGTGTCTGCCTCAAAATTTTCTCTGTGACACTCCGTTTCCTCTTTTCTGTACCTGTCATGTGATAGGTAAGTTTTAGGTTCTTTAGTTGCAATATCTCTTTACTCACCACAGCTCTGAGGGGTTGGCATGGTTGACACTGGTTTCACAATAGAAATTAATAACATTGTTATGGCCATATAGATATTCTGTTTGAAATGGGATTCAGATCCATTTGTCTGAGTCTGAAGACTATATCACATTGCCACTGTGAGATTTTTACCTGACATGGGCTTATTTTTTCTAATGGCATGGAGATATTATCATTAGAAGCAGAGATGTGGAATCTGACAGATCTTGGTTTCTATTCCTGACTGTTTACCACATATAACTTCAAGCAAGTTTCTTAAACCTCATTTTGGTCAACTATAAAATCAGGATAAGTAGTTGTTACTTTGTGTGCATAGAATGTGAACTCAGTGAGACAATTCAAATGATCTTGCGCACTGACTGAAACACAGTGAATGATCAATAAATGGTAATTGCATTGTTGCTGCTGCTTCTATTTGCTACTATTAGAAGAACACATGACCTGGCATACGAAATAAATGTTTACTGTAGAGATTTGGTTAAAGGCTTGATTTCTAAATTCATAAAACCTGAATTTGAATTTCTATTCCATTATTTACTCGTTGGATGACATTGGCTGAATTAAATTTCTAAATTTCACTAATTTATAGAGTTATTAATGGTGAAGTTGATGAGGTTGTTGAATGGATTAAATAAGTGGAGAGTTCCATAGAGATAGAAAAATAAACAATGATGTCCAGCTTTTGCATTTGATAATGTGTTTTGTTCAGTAGATGTTCATACATAGTGAATGTAAGAGGAAATGGTTTTGGAGAAAAAGATTGTTCATGTTCTAAATATCTTGAGCATTGTTATTTGGAAAAAAAATGTAAGTGATCATTGCTTTTTGTTATACTTGGGAAAGCCTTGTAGGTCAGGAAGAACAGATGAATTTGGTGGAATACAATGGGGAAAAAGAGACTACTTTAGTCTAGGGTATTAGCTCCTTGAAGATGCATGCTACATGCCTAAATGGATGGGACATACCTGCATGTGTTGTCCTGTGCTTACTGGACCTTTCTCATATGCCCTGCACCTACATTCCAGTGTGGTGTGGCTCAACCCCACTTTCAGGCCTACCTACACTGGGAAGAGAGGGTTCTGATGGGAAGAGAGGGTGCTGAGCTCACCAATGTTCTTCAGATTTCCATGCATCCTCCTTGGCAGAGAGCGCAGGCAGGATACAGATGAAAAACAGGACTTGGAACTGCTTACATAAAAGCTGAAATTTATTTGAAGTCAAAATGTGGTCTGAAAAAAATTTTTTTTTGAGAAATATCACTTGGGATCTGAAAAGACAAAGGGAAAAATCCTCCTCAACTAATACTGTTGTAAAGTACACATAACCATAAAATATGCAGACATAGCATATTACAGCATGCTCCAGAGGAGTAGATGTAAAATGTTTTGGTCTCAAGACCTCTTTACATTCACAAAAATTACTGAGAGCCGTGAAGAATTTTGTCATGTTATTACATGCATTGATATTTATTAGACTTGAAATTAAAGCTGAGAAGTATTTTAAACATGTTTAGATAAAGTCACTAAAAATAGCAAATAATTCACCTGTGTATGATAGATATGATAATACTGCTATTGAACACAGAGACTTCACATTTTTTCTATTATAATTTTAAAAATTTGGGGATTGGAAGTCCCATTTGTTCCAACTATTCCACTTTTAGGCATATTCCCAGAAAAACTGAAAACATCATATCACAATGATAAATGTGCACCCATGTTTATAGCAGCACAATTTGTAATAGCCAGATCTTGGAAACAACTGAAGTGTCCATCAACTGAGGATTGGATAAAAAAGTTGTGGTATTTTTGTACAATGGAGTACTACTCAGCTATAAAGAATGATCATATTGAGATATTTATAAATAAATGGGTGCAGCTTGAGACCATACTCATAAGTGAAATAAATCAAACTCACATGTATAAATACCGAATAGTTTCCCTAGTGTAAGAAATGGTAAGAATACATAAAAATATGTGGTAAACATGATTCTCCATTATATTTCTTTGAAGCCTTATAATTATAATATTAAGCCTTATAATATTAAGGCTTATAATATAATCCTTATAATTATAATAATTATATTATATATAAGGCTTATATTATATATAAGGCTTTAATTATATATAAGGCTTATATTATGATAATATAAGCCTTATAATTATAATAATTAAGCCTTATAATATTTCTTTGAAGCCTCATTAATTGGAATGGTTTTATACTGGGTTGTTTGATTTTACTGTCTGTGATGGTATGAACAGTTATTTTGAAGAAAACAAGACAATATAATAGCTAGTGCTGATTTAATATCATCTTGTTTTGAAGTCCCATGAAGCTTTTGTTCTTCTGTCTCCATCGTTTATCATGTTGTATCTTATTAGATTTTTTTATATGTGATAGTATAAACAAAAATTTTTATAGACAAGGAGATAATATAGAAACCATTGTTCATTTTCTGTTAATTGGTTCTAAATATCTTGCAATACTTTCATTCTCTTGAATGGTTTTACACTGTCATGTTGTGTTTGATGCTATAATATACGAAGTTATACTCAAATATTTCAAGGAAAGAGACATTATGGTAGCTACTGTTATGTCAAGTTATCTTGTGGTGAAAAACTATGTTGCTTAAATTGTTCTGTTCTGACCTGTGTTATTATGTTGCTATGTCCTCTTTTATCTTAATCTCCTTCTTTTAACTTTTTCAATAAAAATACCAATTTTTAATAAAATAAAATACCAATCTTTCTTCCAAAAAAAAATTTAAAAAATTTTAAGACAGGGTCTCACTAAGTTGCCCAGGTTGGGCTCAATTTTGCAATTCTCCTGCTTCAGCCTCCCATACTGCTATGATTATGGGCATGCACCATGAGTACTTTTTATTAAAGGAAATCTGTATTTCTCAAACCAAAATAAAGTGGATGAGAAAAGTGGTATTGGGTTTACACTTTTACAAATGTCTTTCACGTCCACCTTAATATTCATTTCTAGGACAAAGATATTCTCATATTGGTTTCTATATTCGGTCTTTTACAATTATATATATATATAAAATATATATATATTATATATATATATAATTATGTATATATTACATATATGTCATGCATATAATAAACTATATTATATGCTCATGAAAGAATGGAAAAAGCCAAGAGCATCTTAGTATAATTATGAAAAAAGTTTTGACCCCACAGATCCTTTGAAAGGAATTTAGGGTCCCTCCATGACTCACCATTTGAGAACTGGTGCTTTATAGGCTCATAACTTCTAGAATCAGATTGCACCACATTTGCAACCCAACTCTACTACTTACTAGCTGTGTAACATTAAGCAAGTTAATCTTTCTAGGTCTCCATTTTCCCGTTTTTAAATTAGATGAATAGTACCTGTGGGATTCAGAGGAGGATTAAGTAAAATGAGGTATACAAAAATTTTATATCCTATGCTGTGTATGTGACAGACACCTATAATCCTGACTGGTCCAGAGGCTCAGGCAAGAGAATCTGAGTTTGAAGTCAGTCTAGGCAATAGAGCAAGACTCTGTCTCAAAATAAAAGGGACTGGGGATATAGCTCAGCACTGGAGTGCTTGCCTAATGTATATGAGACACTAGGATCAATCTTCAACTCAAAAGAAAAGGAAAGAAGGGTAGAATGGAGGAGAAAGAAACCATAATTCAGTGACAGGTATATAGTGCTAAGAGATCTCCAGTTTTTCCTACCAGTAAATAGAAAAGACCGGGGCTGCTGCACACCATGGTTCCTATTTTCCCAGGCCCTACGCAGGTTTTACACTCGGGGTTTTTCTGCACCCCTCTTCCTGGAGCCCAGGAGTCTTAAACGGGGGATAGTCAGTGTACCTCATGAGGGTAAGAGGGAGCAGACCTCTCATAGGTACGTGAGACCCACAGGGATGAGCTGATTTAACACTAACAGAGATGAGCACCGCCATCTTCCGGGATTCCTGGTTCCATTTTGCGCCTGCGCACTGGCCTCACTGTCTACCTTTGCTCCTGGTGTTGTTCCCCAAGACACTCTCTTGCCCTGTTTTCTAACTTTGTCTCATGCACTCTTCCAACACCCCCAGCCCACCCCAGCTTCATGTATTTTGCTCTCTTGTCTTTAGATTCCCTAGATTCTCCCTCTTGTTATGAGAATTAAATAGAATAAAGGTTATAAAGCGCTCTGCACTGTGGCTGTCTCTTGTCTACACTCTAGTTACTATTAAACCCATCACCCTCCTCGCCTCATCCACTGATTTGTTGTGACTAACCTGATCCCACTGATTGCCTTCTTCAGCTTAGCACTGACGTCTCTCATTTGGATCCTCTCACTGGAGCAAAGCATCACAAAATAAACGTTTGATTAAAAAGGTAGAGGGAAATTATGACACCCAGTTGGCAGACACACCTCTGAAGTGGCTTTAGGAGTACAAGAGATGCTTCTGTTCTCCGATGGAACTAGTCTCTACCTTCAAAAACAGTCCTATCTGGATGTGTAGAAGAAAAATTTTGGTGCTGAAATGCTTTATAGTTAAAGGTTTATTAAAACTTTGTAGACTGGACAAACCTAGTTTTGACCCAACTTAACATGTGAAGAAACTAAGTAAAAAAATTAAAACAGCTTGTGCAAGAACACACAGAAAGTCACTCATATAATGTGAGGCTGGTGACTGAGATTCCCAGGCTCTCTCTAGGAGTGACAAAATTAAGGATGTCCCTGCTTTGAAATCAGACATATGTCATTATTTATTTATTTATTTATTAGAAGAAGACTATAATATATGAAAAGGTGGAGACAGAAACAGAACAAATAGTTCTGTTACCTGATTATTATTTTTCAAAATATGGTACCTAGTAATTTCCAAGAGCATTATATAAACAATGCTTTTGCCTCCATTTAAAAATCAGTTCTTCATTATACAAAAATTATAGTTCTTCTGGCAAGATCTGAGGCCAGATGTACAGTTCACTTTGGTCTTAAGATAGACCACAGAGAAAATACCTATCATGAGGAGTGGTACTTTGGTAAGTAAGACTAGCCACTCAGATGACCAAGCAAATGTTTTAAAGGGAAACATATTTTGAGTCCCTGCATCACTTGCCAAAAGGACAAATTTGTGAACCAGAGTGAAATCCAACCAAAACTTCCAACTCTTTCAGGAAACTAATGAACAAGTTATTTCCCCCCTTTATTCTAATGATGAATATTTAACACAAAAGATGTTTTTGTTTTCTAAGATAAAGAAGAGATTTTGTGTAGATTTTGCAGAGCTACATAATTTCCTTCCCTGCTGTTACTTTTCTCAATGCTGACGCAAAATATGAGTCACCCAAAGTTAAAGGAGGAAAGGTTTCTTTAGCTTACAGGTTGTAGAGGTTTCAGTTCATAGCTGGCTGGCTCCAAACAGAATGCCATGGCACAGGAGAATCACAAAACAGGCAAGCAGAAGACAGCAAGCAGCCAGCAATAAGCAGCAACCCTCTTTCTGCCCCTTGTGTCTTATCCAGGCTCCCCATCCTTTGGGTGAGGCAAGTCTAACCCTAGCATCACGCATGAATCAATCCCAGCATCACATCCTCGATTCCAGCAGTGCATACTTTAGGTCCAGGCATCTCCAAAAAGCCCCACCTATGATCACATGGGGGACATCTAGATACAAGCCATAGTATCTGCCTGCTGAGAACAAAACCAAACCAAACAACACTTTCTTTATGAAAAATAGATAGCAGACTGTTAGCCACTTTTATTTCACCTGAGAAATATGCCCATGGTCACCCAGATCCACCAGGGGACTTCCTGATAGTATCCATGTGATAATCCTATACACTATTTCTCTGTATCCTGAATTCTTATGAGAAAATAATTGTGATACAATGGAATTAGCTGAGATCAAGTAGTCTTACTCAGTGGTAAATTTTATTAATTTTTTGATGGATCATTTAGCTAGTAAAAGATTGCTACCTCATACATGAGTTTGAACCCGAAATATCAAAAGTGCACAAAGAGTTTATGTCTTAGGCACTTTCCTATTGCTGAGATATAATACCTGACACCCATGACAAAAAAAGAGGAGAGGGTTATTTTGGCTCACGGTTTCAGTTTTATGGTTGGCTGGCTCCAAAGCAGGGATAGGTTAGCAGAGGGAAATGGAAGAGGAAAAGGTGCTCCTCCCTGGGGGGCTTATAAGCAGAAAGAGAAAGAAACAGCCAGGGAGAAGATGCACCCTTCCTGGTTACACCTCGGTGACCTGCTTCCACCCAGGCCCACCTCCTGACTGCACATTCAGCTGCTGAATTCATCAGTGGATGCACCCACTGGTGAGTGTAGAGTCCCCATGATCAGTCACCTTACACAGACTCAGTCACCTTACACACACAGAGGCCATTTTAGATATAAGCCACAACACTTTTAAATAAAGTAATTACGGTTTCAATTCCAAATCCATCATCCACTAAATATGAGACTCCGGGGTGACAACTTCTTGGAAGAAGCTTCTGTCTTGGCTCTATTTTCTAGAAAATTAAGACACCCTTTTGGTGCTAAAATTATAAATCTGAGACACAGACATGATAGCTTTTCATTGAGTGTTACAACACTAGTGATTATTCTCACTTGTACATTCAGCTACTTGTCATTTCTGTTGGAAAGTCTAATAGCATCACATACCTCACTTGTCCAACTGAACTCTTTTTTTTTTTTTTTTTTTTTTTTTATTTAAGAGGAAAAAGAGAAAAACACAAAACAAACCAAAGCGGCGTAAGGGTACACGCAATACAGAACTACAAAACAAAACAAAACAAAACAAAACAAAACAAAACAAAAAACCATAACAGTAAGAAATTACCTGCTAGTAGATTACACACTATTTTCTTGAAAATAGTTCCTCAAATCACAGTATCAAAGAACACAAGGTGGACATTCAAACAGGGAGACTGCAAACAGCTGTGTTCAATGTTCCAAAAACATTGATAAAGTCAGCTATTTAACACCCCCAAACACACTTGCTGTTATATCCGTTAGAGCTCCTTTTCTTTTTTTTTTTTTTTCCCTCTCTTTTTTACAACAAAATTTACACATCTTGGATTTTATTACTCCTTAGTGCTTATTACTTTCTTTGGGGGGGGGGAAGAATACAGTCAAATATGGCAAAACAAAGCTGTCAGTCAATACCAAGGATAGACGTAGCACATGGTGTAGAACAGAGTACAAGTTTATCAACAATGCCAACTGAACTCTTGATTCCTCCATTCCCACACCCCAGGGAGGGACTTGACTCTCCCACATTCTTTCCTGTCTTGGTTGGTAACATTCCCTCCGCTTGATCATGCCAAAAATATTGACATTATCCTGAAACCTCTTTTTTTCATACATTTAGAAATCCCATCCATCAGCAATTTCTTGTCAGTTTCACCTTCAAAACATACACAAAATACAATCATTTTTCCTTATTTTTGCTACCTCTACTTTACTCTGAGTTAACCTCAGGTAAATATCTGCTAACCAGTCACTCTGCACCAATCCATAGAAATTAGTTTTAAATGGTGGTCAAATAATACCATTCTTCAACTCAAAATCTTCTAATATATTCCATCTTTTCCCAAAATAAATTGAGATTTCTTACAAGGGCTACCAGGCCAATCCTGCCATGACCTTCCCCTCGAACCTTACCTCCAGTCTGTCCATGCTACCGCTAACTCACCCGTAACTATATGGGTCTCTTTGCTGCTCTGAAACATGCCAGGAATGATACCACCCGGGATTTTTGTCCTTGTTCCAACAGAAAACCATACTGCATTGCTCACTTTCTCACATCACACAGGTGCTGGTTCCCCTTAGGGACTTCTGTGATCACTCTGTCAGAAATAAGATGGTTCTGTGTGATCCCCTAGTGATAAAGTAAGTCGCGGTGAAGGCCCTGGGTTCATTCCTCAGTGCCACATAAAGAAAAAAGAAAGGAAGGAAGGAAGGAAGGAAGGAAGGAAGGAAGGAAGGAAGGAAAAGAAAGAAAGAAAGAAAGAAAGAAAGAAAGAAAGAAAGAAAGAAAGAAAGAAAAAGACTCAAGAAAACTCTATAGCCTTATGAACCCTGGCAGCAGACAGAACCAGCATTTTGGGAACATGAATGAACAGTGTACCCCTGAACCTGGGTCTTTGCTTCCCTCGTACTTTCCAGATCTCCGTGGGAAACGTGCCTAGTCTGAAATTATGAAAAGAAGACAAGGAGAATGGAAACCATAATGAAATGTTCTTAAAGTGAACTGTAGTAATAGTCACACGACTCTATATCTAAAAATTATGGAATCATACTCTTAAAATGGGTGATTTTTATGGTAGGTTAACTAGACCTCAAAAACATTGATGGGAGAGGAAAAAAGCCCAGAAAGATGTAGAAAGAGGAAAGAAGTGACCAGAAGTAAAAGAAGGACTCAGATTTCTAATATTCTTGGGCCTGAAAACGGATATCCATTTGGAAAAAGATAAACTTTTCAGCTGGTGTAAAGTACAGAAAATTAACACTAGTTTTCTATTTTTTCTTATTTCCGGACAACAGCTTTATATGTCACTGTAAACGCTACCTTTATCCACTCAGATGGTCTGATTCATAAGTCAGGTGACTGTCGGAGCAGCACCTGTGAAGGCCTGGATCTACTCAGGGAAATTGCTGTAAGTATTCGCTGTGTAGAGGTAGCTCCCACTTTCCTGGCCCAGGACTTCTCCTGGGATGAAACTGTACACATCCAAGAAGCGTCTCCTCTTGCATCTCTAGCCAGCAGCTGCAGATTTGAAGGCAGAGTACCTTGGCTTTATTGCATAGATCTCCCAAGTGACAAGTGCCTTTCAAGGATCTAGGAAAGTGGGTAGAAATTTAGCAATCTACTAAGCTGCAACTTGCAGTGGTACCTTGGCTAGCAGTGACCTTGGAGAACTTCCGAAGGATTTTTCTTCGGATATTTTCTTTTAAACTGATTAAAAATTTTTTAAAGTTTTAAATGTTGGTATTAACTTGCTTGCCTTCATGTCCCTCAAAAAATATCCAAGGACTCATATTTAAAAACATATTTCAAGACCCCATATTTGGGGGCTGGAGATGTAGCTTAGTGGTAGCAAGCATGTTCTGCATTCCCAAAGCCCTGTTCAAACCCCAGCACTACACACATGCACACATGTGCACGCACACAAAACCACCTACATCAGATACCTGTTTCAAGTTGTCACCAGGTTCAAGCCACAGGCTAATTACTAAGGTTTAGATGCAGAACATGACTTTAATAGTAGTAGCTGTAACGTCAAAAGCTAAAAATGGGAAGAGGGAGGTTCTTGTCTAGTTTCTCCTCTCTGTCACCAACATCCAACCCTCACCAGAGCTTTAAGGAGCTTGAGTATTACAGGGTCTCTTGAGGTAAGTAGATATGCAAGTCACCCCATGTGGGTGATCTAGGAAAAAGATATCCGACAACCAGCACATTGGGAACAGAGCTATGGTTCTAGAACTTTAATCAATATCCTCACACTGACAAGATGTGTCACCCCCACATCAGAATGGCAGCCTGTGTGCAGAAGTGATTCTCGGTCTTGGGAGAGTAAGGAGTGGACAAGGGTGACTTGTCAAATTCCACTTCCTAGGTCCAGATTCCTTTAGAGAATAAGATCCACAATCCCCCAGCTGATTGCACTGCATGTTAATCACTTCAGCCCCACTTTGTGACTCTGACACTGAAGCTCACTCCTTCCACCCCTAAAACTACCTCACCCCAAGACGCTGCTGAAGTTACAGATTGCCAGTCCTTCTCCCCATCCTCTCCTCCATAAGGAATCCACCTTTCCTCTCCTCTCCCTCAGATCTCATTATCCCTAAGTTGAACCTGACCCAACCCAAGGCTTCACATGTGGCTTCTTTCTTTTTTACCTGTAATGTCTCTGGGTCGGGGAGTGGGGGAGAGGGGACATTTCCTAACCTTCTGGGAGACTTCCCTGGTCACTTCTTTTCTGCCCATTGACTATTTGGTTCACTTTCAGACTTCAGTGTTTGTCTTTTTCTCCTACAGAGACAGAAACGGATGGGCTGTGCCCTCATGGGACCCTCATGCACATACTCCACCTACCAGATGTAGTAAGTAGTCTGATTCGCTGTTGTTTTCATATCGCTGTGCCATGAAGTCAGGAGATGATTTCACAATGTAAAAGATTTGACAAACAACAACGTAGCCAAGGCAACACAGCAGGGCCACTGGGACACCTCTGATTTGCTTCCTCTCTAAAACTCCCTCACCTTTGTTCAGTGTGGGGTGAACTAGAGTAGCCTTCAGGCTGAGTCTAACTCCAGGGTGTGAGGGGCTCATGTGATCTTGGAATAACTCAAGGAATTTAGGAAGGAAAAAAAACCACAGTACTGGCAGAGAGGGTGAAAAGGAGCGCGATGTCTCAGTGTATCTACAGGACACTGTTCTATACTTAGATTTCTTACAGTAGGGAAAATAAGATCTTTAATGTGTAGATTTATTTGGGAACAATATAAATGACATACTTAAGTACTTGGTACAGTGCCTTAATTATTTCAGAAAAACAAATCTCCAATCTATTATAAAAAGAAATATTTCTCTAGTTTTAGGAAAATTGCCTTCATTTCTTCCAAACATTTCACTCACTGTAACTCATATCACCACAAAATTCTTTACTCTTTCAGATCATATTTGCTAGATCAAAATCTTCCCATATGCCTTTCTTTGTCTTTCATAATCTTCTCCTCTATCAAGGACCACCTTATTTCTACACAGAGAAAACTATAAACGACCCTTTGTGATGGGTTTTATAGTTAGACCTTCAAAGCTTATATTGCAGCCTTATGATGCCTCACACCCAGATGCAGGACGGAGCCAGATGCTCAGGGTCGCCATTATGCAGCCACCCCAAAAGCACGTTCTGAGCCCATTTTTCACCCCCAAGTGCAGACAAATACGGGCTCTTACTTTTCCTGTTTTCTTATCATTCCTGTTCCTATTAATGTTGCTAATATTGCTATAGCTTATGCTCAGAAGGAAAGGAGGATGAGAGAAAATGATTTCTCACATATGAGGAGCTTCTGTGTCCAAAGAAGCATTTTAGTTTCATTAGCAAAGAGAAAACTAAGTTAAAAAAAAAACAAACCCTGTCTGGCTAAATACTGAAGAGAAGGTGACAGGGACCCTGAGACCAATCCAGGGCAAAATGAGACAGGTTCCATCAGGGAAGAGCAAACAAGAAGATGCAGATTGCATAGAAGGAAATGCTTACTTACCACAGGTTAAGGAAGGTAAGCCTCAAGAGCAGAAGAGATTTTATAAAGAAAATGTCGTGAGTCTTGTGTTGAAGAACGAATACAATTTTAATGACCAAGATGAGTAGATAAGCTTCCCAGCCAGGCAGAGGAAGAATTATTTGTAAAAGTAAAGACCAGGGAAGTGAAGATAATTTGTAAAGATCTATATAAACTGGAATTCAGGAAATATGTAGAAGAATGATAAAGACTAGAAAAATTAAGTAGGACACCTCTTAAAGCCTTAAGGGAAGCAAGTTCAGACAGAGGAAGTTGTGTTGAATCAGAAACCACTGAGGTTTTGAGCGTGCTGGGGAGGTAAAAAGCCTGGAGCAGCTTATAAAATAGGCGTGGCAGAGGCCAGTGGCAGGAAAGGCTGCAAGGAAATAATAGAGGAACCCAGCTAGCAAAGCACAAGGTAAGGAAAGGGGAGGCAGCTCTAAAGCATTCAAAGGTGAAGTCAACAGGAGTTGGTAACTGATTGGATGTTGAGGTATGAGAAGCAGTCAGAGAAGGCCTTGAGATCTCCAAGCATTGAAAGAGATGGAAAAATCAACAGAGCAGTTTTAAGGAACCAAATTAAGTTAAATTTGATTATAAACATAATGAGTATGCAAGGAGGAAACCAATGGAGTGGGAAAGATGGAAAGGGTGTTGCTTTTCTTCCTTTGTTGATTACCTGGTGAGCTCTATGTGTGAGCCAGGCAGATGGGTGAGCAAGCCAGATGCAGTCTCTGCCTTCAAGGATTTGCAGTCTGGTGAAGGAGACAGGCGTTCAGCTGACTCAAAATAAGCCCATAACCTTAGGTATTCAGGTGTCTTTTGATAAAAAGATTTAATCTAGGACCAGTGGGATGAGTAGATGTCAGCCAGGCAAAGATGCAGGGTAACCTCATTCCTGGCATCTGCCTACATTAAGCTCCTGACAGAAGAATGAAGCTTGTCATGTTTATGGAATCAGAAGAAGGTCCCTGTGCTGAGCTCTCGAATCCTCAACTGATGCTCATCTTAAAGGTGGTCCATACCAAAACTGCAAAGTAAACAGTGCATGGTGGGAAAAGTGTATCGAGCGCCTTTTGGGCTTAACAATACATGATGGCTATGGGTGGCCCCCTCTCTGTTTCTCAGTCCTATTCTCCAAAGCCCGTTCTGATGAAATAAATCAAACAAAGACACATGTCCAGAAGCCCACATGCTTAGCATGTAGCATGTTGTCATAAATGTTTATAAACTCACTTTTGTAAGAGGTGGATTTGTAAAAATGAAAAAACTGCTTCAATGCCCCTAATTCATTCTTACTATGGATACATACATGCTGAATCAAAAGAGGGGACTTCCTTGTGTTACTTAAATTAATGTGGATACTGTTTCTTTCCTACCTCTTGGCATAGCTTGGACACAGAATTAAACTACCCCATGATTTCAGCTGGAAGTTTTGGACTGTCATGTGATTACAAAGAAACTTTAACCAGGATGATGTCACCAGCTCGGAAGCTGATGTACTTCTTGGTGGACTTTTGGAAGGCTAGTAATCTGCCATTCAAAAGCTTTTCCTGGAATACTTCATATGTTTTCAAGAATGGCACAGAGTCTGAGCACTGTTTCTGGTAAGCAGAATCATTAATGTTCTGCTGGTTGCCCTGAAGAGAAGCCAGAGCCTCCACGAAGGACACCTGGGGATAATCAGATGCATGCAGCTTCCATCAGTAGCAGGACTAGAATACACAGCAGCCTACCTCACACACAACGAAAATCAAAAGGGATAAAGTGACTCAAGTGTCATAAAGATAAAGCATAGGTTCCATTCACAACACTCTTCCTGGTTTTGAAAGTATATGCATGTTAGTTTTATTTCCCATAATAAATCCTTTGAAGAAAAGAAAACAAATAACATGATCTTCCTTTTACAGATGATAAACTGAAAAACAGAAATTAATGCTTTCATATTGCTGTATAGGATATCACAATAGGCATTTTACGTACACCTACAAGTATAGCAGTTAGAAATGATGTCTTTCATACTTTATTCTTGGGGACAAGGGAGAAATCAGAATAGGAATAATGGGTCCAGATGTTAGAATTGCATGGTTCACTCAACTATAGCAAAAATGGCAGAGGGAGCCTTTTGCTTGGGTAATACCTGTGATTTCAGGAGGCTTCTAAATTCTGACATCTCTCCCCACCTGGGTCTAAAGAAGGCTCAGCCTGCCTATCACCAACAATGTATACCTCGGATGCTACCAGCTCAACTCCAAGCCCCCATTCTAAAAAAGCTGGATGAACAGAAACCACACAAAAACCCAGTTCTCATGGAGCAGAAATTATTCTTATCAACTATAAATTTCTAAACTGTCGGTTCAAAGGTTTGTGATTTATACGGCAAAGTAAAACCTCATTTCCGTAAGTCACAAGAAGCCAGTAAAAGGAACACATCAAACATCTTCTGTTTACATACATTACTATCCCCTAAAACTTGCCCCATGTTTTCATAAAATTAGATATCCACAACCCAAACTAGTGATATCACAGTATATACGGTCTATTACATTAATAGCAGAAATGCATTTGAGATAAGACACAGGACAGATCAGAACACAATGAGTGAAAGTCATGAGAAATCAAAACTGCTTCCCTAATCTTCTGTTGTAGGTACATCAATGCTCTGGAGGCTGGAGTTTCCTATTTTTCCCAAGTACTTGGTTTCAAAGAGATGCTGAGAGGAAACGAAGAGCTTCAAAAGATCTTAAAAGACCCTAACAGGAGAAGCAATGGTGAGAGGGCAGGAAGCTGATGATTTTGTCAGCTTCCCTCTCTTGAGGGAAACTGTTTCAGAGTCATGTTGGCAAACCCACCCATCCACAGCTTTCTTATGACCTGTACATACTTTAAACATTTGAGAGACCTGTAATTGCACACAGCTTTCTTGACTAAAATTTTATCCTCTGTAAGAAAAACAATCAAAATAGAATGCAGTAAATATACTAACATAATGTAAGTGGATCACAATGCCAACACCCAACTTTTATAAACTCAAATAATGTCACGACCCAGCATCAATAAACTATTTTTAGATTCACTTCTATCCAACGTATTACTGGGTTTGTGACTAATCCTCATGCATTCTAAACCCTGAGCTTCCTTGTGATCAAGAGGCTAAATTTATTGATATATGATCTCAAGTAAAATTATAAGACATCAAAGACTGTCTCAATTCCCTAATCTTTTTGCATATCTGTCATCTGCTCAAAGCATTGTAGCCAAATATATAATGGACTAAACTCATTCTCCTTAAATTGTTAGGTTACTTATCACACTTTGTAAAATTCTCTTATTAAATGGGACTATATCAGGAGCAAAGAAATCAATCACAGGAATTTCCTACAAGAGAAGATGCTTACTAGAGATCATCTGATGTAATTCATATAATCATCTCCTAACCTGCTCAAGTGTTTGGGATACTAAGAATTAAGTCAGATCTGTGAAGAAGGAAGTGTAAAATTAATTTCTCACGTCTCTAAAGACAATTCAGCTGGACAACACAGCAAATGAAAGGATCTAATGAAGTGTCCATTTCCTCTTAGGCATAAATCATGCCTTTACGAAACAGCTGGCTACAATTTGGGTAGAGTTTCAGACTGTATTTTGTCACTCAAATTTCCTTTTTTTAAGAGAATAAAACCAAGCAAAATGGAACAGAATAAAGCCAATCAAAACAAAACTATGTTGCTCAAACTTCCAAAACAGGGGTCTGCATTATAAATTCCTGTCTCCTTCACTTTTACTATCTTTTTAACCACTTTACAAATGGCAAAGTGTAATTCACCTCTGTAACCACACCAGGCCAGTGTGAGGGAGTAAATCTCATCCAAGACTCATAAATTTAAGTCTAGTCAAGATATATTGTCATCTCCTGGTTCTTGACTCCTTTGACTCCTTGGATTCAGCCTCCTTATATCTATAAGATTAAAGAAATTCACTAGATGATATTTAAAGAGTCCATGCAGTTCTAGTCCAACTCCGTAACAGTAAATGAAATGAGAATTGATTTGGAGAATTGGTGTTAATATTTTCTTTTGCAGTACTGGGGATTGAACTCAGGGGCTCAGGCATGCTAGGAAGCATTTTAACACTGAACCACACACCCAGTCTTTGTTTCTTTTTTTGTTTTGAGACAAGGTTAAGTTGTTCGGGTTGTTCTTGAACTTGCCAAGTAGCTGGTTTTCCAGGTGTGTGCCACTGTGCTCAGCTCTAGTGTTTATCTCTTCAAATGTAACATGGACATGTTGGTTCCAGTTGAGCAAGCTGGTTCCTCCCTGTTGTGTATGTGAAGTGTCATATTCCTCTCCCCATCTGGCTTTCTCTGCTCCAGTGATTGTTATGTGCGGTACACCCCAGACCATGGAATCCCTGAAGATTGACTGGACAGCGACCGAAGACACTGTCATTATCCTGGTGGATCTATTCAAGTAGGTACAGTACATTCAAGCACCCCTTTTCTTTCAGAAAAGAAGTACCCCACGGGTTTCCAGAAGACACACACTCTTTGTTTCTCTTGCTTTGCACAGCCTCTTACGTGGTTTGGTATGAGGACAGTGTGCGGGTTGGCTTCCTTCCTTCCTTCCTTCCTTCTTTCCTTCCTTCCTTCTCATTTAATCAATTGTGATCCTAGAAGAGACTTATCCTTTTCGCCTTCATCTAAATACAGAAGTTTCATTAAGGTTCATAAAACCCCCTTGACTGTCCAGCTGCAATGCCTATTCGATCAAACAGGGTCCTGATCACTGACCTGATCTCTGTCCAGAAAGTGATAAATCCATAAATAACTTAATATTATTCCTGGAATATGGCCTTCGTTTTTTTCCACTTCAGTTCCTAATGGTCTTTGGTCCTTGAGCCACCTTTGGTAAGGATCAATTTCAGTTACATGGTTCTGATTTGTATAGATTTTTTTTTTTATCACTGATGACATAGTCATTCAGTGGTGATGTTTTCCACTGCACTTCTCTGGGACTAAAGAGAAAATTCTGGAAAATAGAAAAAACTGCCCCCCCCACACACACACTTTTTTTTTTTAATTCTGCAGAGTAGAGAAACAAACTTTTCCAATCTCTTTTTAAAACTTACCTGCTGTGGGGGCTAGGGATTTAGCTCAGTGGCATAGCGCCTGCCTTGCAAGCACGTGGTCGTGAGTTTGATCCCCAGTACCGATAAAAAAAAAAAAAAAAAAAACTTACCTGCTGATATGGATACCCTACTAAGAAACTGTTCTTATATAATATTGGAGTTAGACTTAGACTAAGCCTAAAGGAGAAGGGGTGTTTGCCCCTTGTCCCATCCACTGGATCATATGATTTCACTTATCGGACTGAGGCATTAATCATTACCTGTGTGTGTTCAGACCACAGGTGATCACTGCTGTAGATCTTCCTCATATTTGTCTCGCCACATCACTCCTACTGCAGGTGCCTTCCCTGAAGGGGAAGGAAGCATAAACACTTCAGCAAAATGTTGGACACCTTTCTGTTGGATAGCTAGACATTCATGAAGATAAGTAACCAATTTAGGCTTTTAGCTCCATAAATGCAGAAAAAGAGGCAAGTTATCAACATTTCATGCTACCACTACCTTGATTTCTGCAGCTGCTTTGCTCTCAGAACTCCTCAGAGACGAGACAACTTGGTATGATTTTACATTCACAAATCCACAATCAATTGCAAAGTGTTAGCCTACCTTCATGACAATTCCCAAAGGATGTCTGGCTAAGCTATGGGAACATCATGACATTTAAAATTAGACATAACTTCAGTGCAAATTCTAATTCTGATGTATCTGGTTCTTTTGATTCTTGGATATTTCTTAGCATTTGGGGATCAAATCGTCTCACTTGTAAAGTGAAAATAAAAATGGCCACTTTTTAGTGGTGCATTTGCGATTAGATATGATAATATTAGCAAAAGAGCCACTGCAATCCTTAGCACATAATAGATGTTTTAAAACATTAAATGATGGTCACCCAATTCAATTGTGTTAGAAGTTTTGCATATTAAAGCATCCAAATTAATAGGAAGCATAGGAAGCATGATTTTTAATGCAATTCAGATAGCACTGACAGGTTACAATGTACCAAGCACTTTCTAGGAGCTAAATACACAGATCAATGCACTAATGCCCCATATGTCAAAAAGGTTATAGTGTTACTGAGAGTGCTTTTTGTTCCCATGCTTAGGTTTTACCATCTAAATTTAATGATAAAAACTGTCTCTACTATATTCCACTGTCTCTAACTTGTTAACAGAGTTTAAGAAAAAGAAAATTTTCTTGTATAAACCCAGGATCAATAAACCTTAAGAGCAAGAACTAGCTTCCATGGCTAGAGCCCAAGAATTCTTTCCAAAACAGAACCTATTTCTGATTCTTCCTATCCATTTCGGTATGCTAGCCACAGATGCTTATGTTATCTTATGCAAGTTAGCAGATATGAAAGAAAATAATCCTATCTGGGGAAAGTAGGAAGTTTTCCAGATTACTGAAAAAAGATTTTAAACTATTTCCAAGGCTGATATTACAGTGTGTGAACTGTAGAAGATGCATTGCTGTTTTAAGAGGAACTTAATTTTTATGAGGAACATTTTTTTCTTATAGTAACTACTACTTTGAAGAAAATGCCACAGCCCCTGATTACATGAAAAATGTCCTCGTTCTGACACTGCCTCCTGGGAATTCCACCATAAATACTTCTCTCTCCAAAGAATCTTTACAGGTAAAATGTGTGTGTATGATACATGGGGTAAGGAAATTATTCTTTATTTAGGCCCAAGTTATTAAATTTGCAGTAATTTTTGCTCGTTCCAGGTCACTCAAAAAATATTAACTGAGAACAACTACATATGCCTCATGTGGCGGTAGCAGGATCCCTACCAAATTTCTTAATCTACATAGGTTACTTCTGGACTCTAGGCCAGCTGTGTCTAACCCTCAGACAGCTAGTAGTACAACTTCACAAGACCATGAACTTTATTATGAGATGGTTCAAGATACTTTCACGACTCCATTGTGCAGTACTTGAGTCAGACTTTGTAGGTGACAATGGGCCGCTGTGTGGGGGGTGCACAGAGCAGTGCTGACTCGCCCCCTGAATTTGCCACACATTTGCATTGAAACGAGCATGTATCAGGTATTATGTGCTCTTAGGCAATCACTGCTTGTGCAACCTGGTTAGTAAAATGAAGCTAATATTGAAAATAATGTTTATTTTGTTGTTGTTGTTTTGGTCTAGTTTTCTGCTTATTTTTTGAGTCAAGGTCTAACTCCATAATTCAAGCTGGCCTTGAACTCACTATCTAGTCCAGGTTGGCCTCTAACTCACACTGATCTTCCTGCGTCAGTGCTGGGATTACAGACATGTACTACCATGGCCAGCCAGATAATAGTATTTCAACCTATGAACATGTGTGTATACCTGTGAAGACAGGTATTTATTTTTATTAAGCAGACATGTAAGTTTTCTTAATTGTTAAACCTGGGTTTCCGTTATTTCACAAAATAATTTAGTAAAGTAAAATATACATAAAAGGAAGTTTTGTTACTTACACATACTAACTATATTGTATATTCTGTATGTGGACCAAAACAATTTCTCTTCACCCAGTACAACCCCATCAAACCAAAAGCGTAGACACCTATTCTCTGAACCAGCTCAGCAGTCAGGCTTGTGCAACATCAGAAGTATCAATAGTGATTTTTCTTGTCCAACATCCAGTGCCCAAACTTAAAGGAAGAAAAGTTTATTTGGGCTCACAGTTTGTAGAGGTTTCAGCCCATGGTAGCCTGGCTCCATGGAAAGGTGGCATGGCAGAGAAGAAACAGCTCATGCAGCGCAGCAGGAAGCCGAAAGAGGTCATGGAGGAGGGCGGAGAAATATTCCCTTCCAGGTCACACCCCCAGTGACTCATCCCTTCCCAACATCACATTTCAATATAAACTCATCGGTGGACTAATTCACTGACAAGTATCACACCCTCATGATCTTTTTTTTTTTTTTTTTTTTTTTGTCTTTTTCGGTACCAGGGATCGAACTCACGACTGCACACTTGCAAGGCAGGCGCTTATGCCGCTGAGCTAAATCCCCAGCCCCTCACCCTCATGATCTTATCTCCACCCCAAAGCCCCACCTATGAGTGCATGAGGCTTTGTGGGACATCCAGATATAAACCATAACAAAAAAGAAAGTGGCCATACAGGAAGACGGGAAGAAGTTCTGTTAGAGGACCAATCTTATACTTAGGAGAGGTAGAAATTAAATAGTATAAAATAAACATCTCTGTATCCTAAAGCAATTTTCTCCTATCACTAGAACCAAAATATACTTTTAGAGAAATATATTCCTGGTTTAAGACATTGTACTCCACTGTAATTAACTTTCTCCAGAAGAATCCTAGATTATTCCTTTTATCTCAGTGTCCCATATGGTATAGTATCTGTCCCAACAAAAAGGACCTTTAATTACAGCCCCCTTATTATAATGCAGGTGCTCTGACAACAGTGCTATACTCCACTGTGGTTACACTTTTGGAATATTTTCTGTTTTTAGAGATGGTTAGTGGAGAGCAGCTTGCAGGGAGTGTGGGGCACAACCCTGAGGGATCCCAAACAACTCTGCAATGACAAATCAAGGGCAAGGCTGAGACAGCTGTCAGGAAGCTTAGACACCATGAGGGTCAAAAACCTCTACTGCGGTAAATCTTACCTGAGTTATTTTCATCTTATGAAATGTTTTCAGCAAAAGAAACTGAAACCGATAAAAGGGATTTTTTCCTTTTTATATTTCCTAGAAAATTTAATCCTAGGTGCACAGAACTTGCCCTATTTCTTAGCTCTGGCAAAAGTACAATCCTTTCCAGGTAGGTGGTCTATACTGCCAGATGTAAGAGAACATGTCTGGTCTCGCTGAGGTAAGAGCTTTAGATCAGAGGCCATCCTGTGTGGATCGCTGTGCCACAGTCACGAACAGAGGAATCCTGACCCTCACACTGCTTCCCACCAGGCAGGCATTGAGGGCTGAAGTAATATCCAGGCAGAGCTGTCTCTTGCAAATTCCATGGCGTCATCCAACCACAACGCTCATATGTCATTCAGGATGCTGAATGGGGTGCTGTTTGGTGTGTGGCTTTTCTGGATTTACCTCTTGTACTTCAATGAAAACATTAAACTATAAGCAAATATTATTTCTGCGTAAAATCTTTAAGAATCATGAAAATGCTTTTTGTTGACTCTCCTGGCTGCAGGCATGTATTTTGTCTCCTTGGGAAGGAAGTCTAACTGCTTGTGGTTACTTCCCTAAAGGCAGTGTTTTTGTTTAATGGATCCCAAGAGAGAAGGCAGAAGTGGGCTAACAAGGGGTGTTGACCCAAGGAGGAATTTCCTGGACATGTCCTTTACTATCACACTCCCAATTCCCCTAGGATCTTTGCCTTGTATATTTTTTTTTGTTGTTGATTCTGAGACAAAATACCTGACACCCAAAATTAGGGAAGGAAAAGTTTATTTATCTTAGAGTTTTGGAGATTTCAGGCCATACTCAGCTGGTTCCAAGGCAGGATGGCCTTGGCTGAGGGCAGGTGTTCACGGACACTGCAGGCACCAAGTGCAAAAAGGGCAAAAGAGAAAAAAGCATGGCCTCCTTTCTTGCTTTTCATTGTATGCCAGCTCCACCCCTGAGTGGGTGCAGCACTCACCTCCAATCCCAGTGCTAGACAATGAACCAATCACAAACGCTAAATTCAGCCACTTCCATGACTGTATGAAGCTGGGGGGGGGGCATCCGAACAGAAGCAATAACAATCCCTTTATCTTTCCAGTGACCTGCTGACCCAAGAATATTTTGCTGCAATATCAGGACCAGAATCTCATTAAAACCCATTTAAAAGGTTTCCTTTGTCATTCAGGAATTTAGTGACTTTGCCCTTGCTTACCTGGATGGAATCTTGCTGTTTGGCCACATGCTGAAGACATTTCTTAGAAATGGAGAAAATACCACCGCTCATAAATTTGCTCATGCTTTCAGGAACCTCACTTTTGAAGGTACTCATCTCCTAAGAGCAAACAACAGGAGAGATAAAAAAAATTACAGGCTTTGGGATAGGCTTTGGAAACAGAAAGGGTTTAGCAATTGATGGCTGGATAGCTTTAGACCTTTGAACCCAGGTGGATGCAAATATTGCACAAACTCTAAGGATGTCGTTATGGATATCTGGACCCGTTCTGTGCTACAACCTTTCAGAATCTTTGGGTATTGCAGAACAAGCATGCAGCTCAGGCTCTGCATTTATGAACAAGTTCTTACCAGGGTATTTTGGCTATGCCTGGAGACTAAGAAGGAGAAAGACATTTGATTTGATTTTGGTTCCTTTACATCTCTCCTGGTGTCCTTCAAAGACCTGAGATTGTTAAGCCTATAACTTCCAAAATCCTTCATAACAATACCATCAAAACAACTCATGCCTTGGTAATGCTGGGTTAAGATTCCCTTTGCCAGCAGCCAATACTCAAGCTCCCACCCTTCATAGCTAGATGTCATTCAGAGATTATGAAATTTCCTTTTAAGCAGTTGCCTTCCCTCGCTGACCTTAAAATATTACTCAGGAAGAGCTTTGTCTCATTGCAGAGTGAGTCTTCTGTTGGCTTCAGAGAACCTGAGTCACCTAGTACTAGATCTGAGAGTCACATCACAGTGATAGGAAGAGACCATCACTGCTTCCCTGAAGAAGCAGAGCAGGAGAGACATTTACTTTCTGATCATTCCCTGTATCCCAAGCACTGCCTGGCATTTTATGTATATTCTCAATGGTCTCACATCCGTGACTGTAGTCTGTCATCTTAATGGCTCCTGATTTAATCTGTAAACCTGAACATATTTATTTGAAATTCAAATTAGCCACCAACCAGATATCTATGACCCTGCATAGGTTACTTCATAACTTTGAATTCAATAAATAAATAATTTCTCATCCATAAAATAGAGGTAATAGCAATCTCTCATCACAGAATTCTAAGGAGAATAAAATAATAACTGTATATAAAGCACTTAGAACAGAGCCTGGAATATAATAAGCAAGAAGTAAATGTTAATTATTATATTGCACTAAGTGAAATGTTTTTGTTTTTGTTTTTTGTCTTTTTTCTTTTTATCGGTACCGGGGATCAAACTCATGACTGCCTGCTTGCAGCTAAATCCCCAGCCCCATAAGTGAAATGTTTGATTTCACTTACTTTTTATACGAACAACCATTTCATGCATTCACTCTATACTGTTATTATTTTATAAATTAAAAAAAATTGAAGCAGAGAATTTAAGTAATTTTTTTCCAATGTATTCAGCCAAAAAATGATTGCAAAGGGGTTTTTATCTCTTTATAATCTAATTTGGATTGTACAATGGCTTATATTACTAGTTTATTAAATGATCTTGATAAAAATATATCACTGGTACATAATAAATTTATCACCTGATTTATTTAGTGCCTTCCTAAATGTAATGGAAACTTTTTCCCCCTTCTAAATAAACAGTATCTCCCATTTTTAAAAAATCCTTTGGAAATCTCAGACACAAGAACCAACTCAGTGCCCTCTGATAAGAACATTTTAGCTAATAAAATTTTTCAGTACATTTGATATAGAGCAATTCAAGTCTAGGTTATGCTCTCTGTCACGATTCAACTGGGTAAGAAGTCCACAATGGCCTCTAATGCTGTCTGATTTTTTTTTCCCTGAGGCTCCACGGGTCCTGTGACATTGGATGACTCTGGGGACATTGATAACACCATGGTGCTTCTGTACACGTCTGTGGATACCAAGAAAGTATGTCACACTGCTAAACTGGGAAACATGGGTAACGTGACTGGGTGAGAAGGGATTCAGGACAGAGATAATGCAGAAGGACTTAGACAAGTTATGCTTACAGTTGGGAGATCATTTCAGCTTTCCTGCCTCACTTAGTTTAGACAATAGAACTTTTGACTCAGAATATCAACTTTATTTATTATATACATGTATGTATATACCATATAAAATCGATGTAATCACAAAAATATTGAAGAAATGTCAGTGTAAGGGCAACAACTCCTTCCTAAGAACTGCTTGTTCACTTCGGTAACTAAAGATATCACTCGAGTCTTCCCAGTTCTTCCCCTCTGACCTCCCATGAAAATCATGAACCATGCACACGTAAGCCCATAGACTCACATAAATGGCCCTATGTGAGAGCCTCTATTTCCATTCTGTATTTCTGTTTTGCTCACCAATGGAGTAAGTCTTTTTTAAAAAAAAAAGAGGTGGCTCACATTCATCTCTGGTCTCGTCACTATTTAGCTTTTTATCTGGCAGTTAATAGCTGATCACTTAATCAAAATACCAACCACCTATCTTTGTCACTCAAAATTGTAGGCATCCAAACTATGAAAGCCACCATTCCAACCAATCAAGTGGTCACTAAGAAAGTGTTTTCCTTCAAGATATCAGATGCTGACAGAATTAGAAATCTAAGAAGAAAAGTTGTTCATATTTTCATTTCTCAGTGTGAACATTACAACATGCTTAAATGATATAGTGAGTGTATATGTTGACCTAGCTTTGCAAAAGGTATCTATGATAGCAAAATATAAAAAGCCAGATGTCCAGACTCTGAGAATGCTGAACTGGAAAGTTTAGAGCTGCATTCAAAGAAATGATCCACAGTTTTTAGGGACTGTAGTGAACCTTTAATATAATGCTATATTTGGCATCCAGTCCTTGGGAATTCCCTAAAACCAGACCCCCGCCTTTGACACTTCAGTTACTAACAGAAACCACAAAGATACCTACATTCTCTTCCAAGTTATCTGCACCTGGAAAGATGCTCTTGCCATGCGGGAAAGAGGAGGATCCATATGTGGATCTTAGCTTCCTGACTGCTCTGCAACATGAAGAGTATTCTCTTATTTCTCTAAAAGCAAATTTGGTTAAATTTTTAATAATCTAATGACATCAGTTTTGTTATATGTTATGCATATTCGGGAAAATGCGATTAATTCTCTAAACATAGGGCCATAGAGACACCGGTCCTTACCCAGGAAGATATTCAATATGCCAGTCCCCGTCAATCAGCTATGTGCTAGCCTCAGGGCATGTTTGCCAGTTAGGAAGATAGTTTTGAAAATGTAAGTTTTCATTTTGTTTATTTGTTTTTCCTTGGGGCCTAATTTTGTTTGAATTTGTTAATATATTCAAATGTTAGTCCTCTGAGGAGTAGCTGGAATGTTCCTCCCATTCTGCAGGCTGCTGCTTCACTGTCCGACTTCTTCCCTTTGCAGAGAAGAATCTTTTACCTTTGTTACATTCCTGTCTGGTGATTCTGGTTCCCATATCTTGGGCACTTAGGGTTCTACTCAGAAATACCCTTAGATTATTTTTAGAGTCAGTTTCCTGGGAGGGAAAATGATTTGAGTAACTCGTATCTTGAAGATGTAGTTTTTATAATGTACATTTTAAAAATTATTTTTCCTTACATTTTATTATATTTCCTTATATTTTAATATACTTTAATATATTTATTTAATATATTTTAAATACGTTTCTTAAATTATATTTTTAAATATTTTTTTAATCAGTACCAGGGATCGAACTCACGATCACCTGCTTGCAAGGCAGGTGCTTATGCCGCTGAGCTAAATCCCCAGCCCCTATATTTTAAAATTTCAATCCATCACACTTTACTGCAATAAGGCCAAAGAATGCCTATCTCAGCAAAGAGTGCTTGCATTATTAGGCGGAGGGTGGACAGAGGTTGTACCCTCTAAAGTTCCCACCCTACTGCACAGGACATGTGTCTGGGGTAAAGCTCCACCTCTTAAAAATTTCTTCTATCTTATATAGGAACACTTTTAACAGTGGTTTGTAAATATTTGAAATCACAGCGATTCTACTCTTCACGATAAAGGAGTTTCAAAATGGTTTATGCCTCCAAAATATGTTACTTTTTCTTCATTTCAATTTTATGCAAAATTTTAAAGTTCAATGCAGTGAATTAGAAAAGATCATGATCTTCCTTCCAAAGCATGGGCTTCATGGAATTTACCCAATACGATTTTTTTTTTACTATACTAATAAAACATTGTAAATACATGAATAACCTCTGATTGACTCTATGAATTAATTAGAAATGTGCAGTGTACACCAGATGTAAGAAAAATAAACACAGATGTGTTTGAACTATGTCTGCAAGCACTTTAACAAATTTGAAAAGTATTAAAAATATTATTACATGTGGTTATCTTATGTTATTGAAAAAAATTTGAGTTTTCTTCTTTATAATTGTCTATGCACTTCAATTCTTCCACAATGCACTTGTAACACTTGCTTCTCTCTCTCTCTCTCTCTCTCTCTCTCTCTCTCTCTCTCTCTCTGTCTGTCTGTCTCTCTGTCTGTCTCTGTCTCTCTCTCTCTCTCTCTCTCCCTCCTCCTGCCTCAGCCTCCTTGTGCTGGCATCCTGGCTGCGCACCTCGGCCCCTGCCCGGCCTGTCTCCTGGACCCTCTCTCTTTGGGTCAGTGTCTCTGTCCTCCACCCTCTCTGGTCTCCACCCTGAGTCCCTGCCTCCCCAGGCCCGTCTCCCTAGACCCCTGTATCCTTTGTGTCTTTCTGTCCAGGTCCCGGTGGGTGGGCAGCCAGTGTCTCTGCTGTCCTGTCCCCGTGTCCTGGGTGTGGCTCTGTCCCCCGCCCTGCGTCCTCTCTGGCCACCTCTGTCCCCTCCGCCGCCCTCTCTGGCTCTGGAGGCCGCTGGCTGTCCGGCTTCCTGCCCCGCAGTCCTGACTCTGGAGCAGCCTCCAGTTCTGGCCTCGGTCGGTCCCCACTTCTCTGTGCCCGGGTGGCCCCTGGGGGGACGTGGCTCGCAGCCTCCTGGGCGGGGGCGCTGGGGTGAAGGCGAGGGGTGACCTGCAGGAGCCCCACCTGGGGATCAGGAGGGAGTGACTCAGACAGACAGACAGACAGACACAGAGAAGATGGAAAGGGAGGGAGAGAAGGGAGAAAGTTTCTAAAGGCAGGCGAGAGGGGACCCACCAGGCCGGAGGAGGGGAGAGGGCGACAGAAAGGAGCCGAGGGGCACCTGGAAGAGAAGGGAGAGAAGGCCCCGACACCAGATGGGGTTCAGAGCAAAGGAGGAGGCAGCATGGGAACCTTAGGACCTCAGAGGGGGAGGGGAAGGGAGAGGGGGAGGCACAGAAGGAGGGCAGGTGGGGGCAGGGGCGGGGGCGGGGGGGGGGCAGGGATTGAGAGACGGGAGTCCCACTTGCATTTTTTTTTTTTTTTTTTTTTTTTTTTTTGGTCTTTTTGGGACAGGGACTCCCTGTGCAGTTCAGGCTGGCCTTGAGTTCACTTTGTAGCCCAGGCTGGTCTGGAACTTGCTGGGATCCTCCTGCCTCAGCCTCCCGAGTGCTGGGATTACAGGGGTGAGCCATCACATCCGGCTCACTTATATTTCTTATAACTAGAAATATGTTGCTCATTCATCAAAGTAGAGAAAATCAATAGATATCTTTTCATATGATTATTCATTATTTTGCTACATGGAATTTTTTGAATGATTTTGATATAAGAGAAGGAAATTCCCAAACTGCTAGATGTCCAATATAAGTATCTGCTTTCTAAAATCAAAGAATGAATCCTAGGAGCAACAGAGGTTAAGAGCAGAATCTATTTATTGGGGAAAGAAAGCTTCTGTCTAAGACAGACAGAAGGGATCCCCGAGTGGGTTTGCCTGAAAATGCAAAATTTCAGTGTGGAATATTTTAAGGGACTGGCCATGATTTAGTGCGATTATTTTTGTCTCTTACAAGATGATCTCATATTTGAAATAGTACTAAAGATGCAGCACATTAATATTGCATTAGCAGAGTACTTGGAAAGTAAGTCTCATTCTAGAAACTTAATTAGTGTCATGCAGAGGCGAGAAGAGGTCAGAAAATTATGAAATTAATAGAATGTTTAAAATGTGGAATTATTCAGAGCTTCTTGACGTGGATTAAAATGGTACCATGAATGTTGGCTGTCATGCATTTTCTTAAGACGTGGCTTTCAAAAGTGACTCGTAAACACTGGTGCCTCATTTACCTTGGAGCTAGCCATTTAATTTTTATGGCCTCTGTTTTAACACTGGTAACATGAAAGGCTTGAACTAGCTCTCTGTAGGCCCAAAGGATCTGTGTGGGGCAGAGTTAATGGTACAGTACACAGTCATAAAGAAATATAAAATTCCTAAGTCTGTGTTCAGACCCTAACTCGTTCCAAGCTGGTTAACAATTACCTTGTTCCACCGAGAAGTGTTACTATTAAATGTAAGCGGAACAATGACTCTCATCTGAAATTGTTCTAAAACTTTGTTCCTATTTGTTGTCTTTTCTGTTTCCTCCTGCAGTTCAAGCCTCTTTTGTTCTATGATACCCGCATAAATCAAACTACCCCGATAGACACCCATCCCACATTCATCTGGAAAAATCATAGACTGCCTCATGATATTCCTGGCCTTGGTAAGCTATTCTTTGTGAATTGTCTTTCCCCGAAATTGTTTTTCTGGTAAGAAAAGTATAGTTTATGTCGATTTTTGCTTTGTTTATTGTCTAAAATGCATTTGCAGAATGTGTACATGTGGGTTTTACTTCCTTACACAATTAATTATATAATAACTAGAATAAACACTGAAAAGATCCCTATTCTCATTTAGCTAAATCTGTCTTTAAAACGTATCCTCCTGTTGACATAAATTATTCCACAGGAAACCAGGCGTAGTAGTCGGCAATAGTGAGCAGAGGTAGGTATTTTTTAATCTATTACACTTTACCACAATAAGGCCAAAGGACAAATATTACTTGCTATGTTAGGCAGAGGGCAGGCAGTGGTTATAGCCTCTAACGTTTCCATTACTTCACAGGATGTGTATTTGAAGGGGAAAAAATGTGCATGTTGAGCAAACATACATGCTCCAAAAAACACCATTAATTGGTAACATTTTTAGAAAGTTATGATTTACTCAAACACAGTCATTCAGGCAACCAATTAAAAATAATTATTTACAAAAAATCTTCACATGATAGAGAGCTTATAATATAGTAAAAGTAACAGAAAAACGTGATTTTTTATTTACTGAATTCTAACTTTGTAAAACAATGTGGAGTAATAAGACTAGAAAAAAACTTCCTAAAATTTTACAATGGTGCTTACTGAGAAATAATCCTGGAAGGTTTGTATTTGTTGTTTTGTTTGTTTGCTTTTTTACATTTTTCTGAATTTTCAAAATTGTCCGCAATGACTACATTTATTTATCATTTTTAAAAAGTACTAAAAAGCATAAGCCAGGAATATTTCTACTCTGGCCCTACTCTTTAGTTAGAAAGTCTGCAAATTCGCTCTGCCTTAAAGAGGTCTGGTTGGTTTGCTTCTGTCAAAACTGTAACTGTTTATTTCTATTGTTATTGTTTTGGCTTTTTGAGGCAGGTTTTCACTGTGTAGCCCAGGCTGGCCTCGAACTCATAGCAATCCTGCCTCAGCCGCAGAGTGCTGGGATTACAGGCGTGCACCACCATCCCTAGCTCCAAACTATAAAAACTTGTAACTATTTCTTGCTTGCTTCTACTTTAAGAATCAGTTTTGGTCTAAAATTACTTTATTCAAAAGTCGTTAGCAATTGATTAAAGCAAAAGCAGAGGAGGAGGACGGGTATGAACTGCATTTAAAAAAATTTTTTTTAAGCAATAAGCAATCCAGATGTGACTTCAACTATATTGTCACTACATTTTGACTTGAATTTTTTTAAAGCAAGTTTTCTTTATTATCTCTGGAAGCATCTTCCAGTTCCCATGTTTTAAGTCAAACTTGAATTCTGAAATATATCTTTTCTCCAGGACGGCTGCAACTTGTATTTTTCCTTTTACAACTTTTTGAGTTGATTTTGTTCTATTTCTCCTAATGACAGCACTCAGAGACATGTATTTTTAACATCTTTAAAGTCTCTTGGTATTTGGTTATTGCCTAGAAGGTCTGTGATTTGTAAAACGTTAAGTTTGTCAAAAAGCAATTTTTGAGAGCTCTCATTGTTTAACTTAGAAGAAATCACATGAAATAATCCATACTATTATGTACTCATACATTATATTGACCTGGGCCGTGTAAGTTCACCTTCAGTTAAGTAGAAACCAGCCAGAGTTTTTCAAATTATGTAACTGTTATCACTGTAGCTTTACGCCTTGCAGGTAAAGCAACTTGGTCTTTCAAATAGTACACAAACCAGGTATGTGCGCCTGGCCTTTTATCTGCGTGTCGACTGCCAACCAGAAACAGGGCATGTTATCTGGAGATTAATCCAGCACAGCCTTTTTCTCTCATTGAAAGATGTAGTAAATGCCAGACATTGTCTTGATCGCTGGGACACAGCCCTACAGACAACGCAGATTTGGTGTCTGTCCTGATCTAGGCCTGCATGATTGATTTCCTGCTTCAGTCCTCCACCTCCACACAGCCCGCAGGGCCACCAAAGTGAAACCACAAACCCGAGGGCATCACACGCCTTGGCACTGCTCTGCTCTGCAGCACCAGGCCCTGGTGACTTAACCATGGCGCTATAGTCTCAGGATCCTCTCTTCTCCAGCCGTCCCTCTCATCGTACCCCGGCCTCCTCTGATTTTGAAGGTTGCACAACTTTATGTCCTACTTCGTGCTGCGCCTCTTAATTAGAATGTATTACTCTCCCACGTGACTGGTAAATATCGACTCAGCCTCAAGATTCAATTCGTCCTGAACATTTTCCAGGCTGTTTTCTTAGCATCCTACGATATTAATCTTGTTTTTACCCTACTCGACACCAAGCATCGTACTTATAGCACGCTTATCTGCTTAACACGTAATTTATAAGTGTAGAAACGAGCCTCTGTTCATAGCCCAACCCCAGCCCAGTGCCCTGGAAAAACTGAATGACTGAATGAATGACCAGAGATAATTATGAATGTATTTCTACACCGGACTCCAGAGCTTATCTACGCTGTGTAAATTTCGGTTCATTTATTCTCCTTCTTAAAGAGGAGGTGTTTTCCCTCTATTAAATTGGGAGATTTAACGAGTGCCTTCCAACTATGTCATATGACTGTAATATCCGTCTGTGTTCATAGTGGAAAGTTGAATACGATGCAATAACCTCAGTAGCCACCAGAGGGCAGCAGAAGCTCAACCTTAGAATTTGCATTAGGGCTTAAACCAAAAAAAGGTGTGTTGAATTTGAAACTACTGTATTTAAATAGCATGTGACATATTTGCATAGTACATGTAAATAACACATAGTATCTAGTACAGTGATTTGTAGAAGGCAGACATGGATTGTCTGCCTCCACACTCCCTTCAACTCAGGTACCAATCGAGGAAATATACACTTTTAGTGGGTTGTGAAGGGAAACCATATTTCTTATACTCACTTTTTCTTGTCGTGTAGAGGTGAGCTGTGATGGTGGTGAGTGAGGCAACAGTAATGGTAGTAATAGAAGTGGTTATAGTAGCCAGGCGTGGTGGTGCATGCCTATAATCAGCACTTGGGAGGCTGAGGCAGGAGAATCCTTGCAAGTTCAAGACCAGCCTGGGCTACAACGTGAGCTCAAGGCCAGCCTGAACTGCATAGCGAGACTCAGTCTCAAAACAAAACAAAACAAAATAACAGCAAAAATACAACAGAAAGGGACTGTAGTGATAACAGATTCATCAATAATAAATGTGCACACAGTGTAGCTTGAACTGCAAGGTGTGAATTTATTTTTCCTCAAATGAGAAGAGAAATTCACAGCTCCATTTTTATTGTTGAATTTCTTTCTTTTAACGCAAGATGGGTAATCAAAAGCAGAGTCACGTGGTAGCAAAATAAAGAGTCTTCAATACACTCCGTACGGACAGTCCTGCAGTATTTATCCCAAATTAAACTCAGTACTTCATTTAGAGGGTTAATTCAGTAGAAAAGCATAGTTCAACATAAGAAGAAGAATTTAAAAATTCATGCAACAAGTGAAAGATTTCTTTTCAACGTGAGTTTATGTGCTTTAATGTTTGGGCACCTTCTCCTTGTCTGTTCTCTGTAAAATGAGCAGGACCAAGCTTTTACTCAATTACGTTTTTCATTCAGCCCCTTGGAGTTGGCCTCTTACCAGGCACCAGGCTAACGGAACCAGCAGGAGCAGACAGCGCTGGGCCGCCCCTGGCGGCCAGATGAGAAAACAGTGGGGGGAGAGTGGGGTGCTGCTCTAATGAAGAGAGCCTGATACCTCCTTCCAGGAGCGTGTTGGCCGATCATCTTTTTAGCAAAGAAAAATCCACACACGTGATTTTAAAATCCAGTAGTAGGGAAGCTCATCCCAGGAAACAAACGTCCCTGGTCCTTCTAGGTGCTTCGCTGGTGTCTCTGTCACTCTGGTTCTAGTTCTTTGTCTGACTCTAAATAATAGGATTATGTTCTTCATTCCTAACCTTTTGATGTTGTATTTTTCTTTTCTTTCTTTTTTTTTATTTTACTTTATTTTTGACACAGGGTCTCGCTATGTACTTCAGCCTGGACTTGAGCTCACTTTGTAGCTCAGGCTGGTCTCAAACTTCAAGGATCCTCCTGCCTCAGCCTCCCAAGTGCTGGGATTGCAGGCGTGAGCCACTGTGCCCAATATTGTACTTTTTTGTATTGATAAATGAAGTCTTAGTTCATCTTCATGAGCCCTCTTTCTTTCTTTCCAGTAATTTTCTGTTTTTGTCAGTATGTTTGTCAGATGTCTTTGCCATTCTGCGTGGGCTTCTACTGTTGTTAGATCAACAGTATATAACATATCTTTTTTTTTTTTTTTTTGTCTTTTTCCTTTTTATCGGTACCGGGGATCGAACTCACGACAGCCTGCTTGTAAGGCAGGTGCTTATGCTGCTGAGCTAAATCTCCAGCCCCTATATATAACATATCTTCTATCCCCACTTTGTAAAATGAAGTGGTTAATGCCCATCCTTTCTTGTGTTTCCTTCCCACCACCCAAACTCTTCTATATTTTTCTATAAAGATGTATATTTCTTTGCTAAACATTATAGTCCTTTCTACTTTACCTATAAGTTGATTTTGTAAACCGAAAGCCGGCAAACACTTCCATCAATATCGTGACCTAAGCTTGAGCACGGTGATGCACACCTGTAGTCCCAGCACTTGGGAGGCTGAGGCAGGAGGATCACTGTGAGTTCAAGGCTAGTCCAGGGTACAAAGTGAGTTGAAGGCCTGTCTGAACTGCATAGTGAAACCCTGTCTCAAAAAGACCAAGAAAGTTCATTATTTAAATATTATTTATATCAAGCTAAATAGTATATGCCTTGGTGACCTACGTTTCTACATGATACCAGTATCTCCATTTTGTACTACATAAAGGAACAAAGATTCTCCTTTTTAAAAATACTCAAGCTTCCAAATCAGTCTACATTTTATCTTGTTTCAATTTGGGGCCATGTCTTTCTTGAACATTTTTGCACAGAGTTTCTGATTATTAGGTCTCTCTGTTTCTATTTCATCTCTCAATCTTCATGTCTCTGTCTCTGTCTCTGTCTCTCTCCTTCTCGCCTTGCTATAAGAAGAATTGTCTTCTGCACCATTTTTCTATTATCTTCTAGTTTCTTATACATTTTCTCTATTGCTTGGAATTCATCGCATTCCATTTCGAGCCCACAGCTTCCAAGTCCAACTGGAATCCCATGAGGCCTCGGGGTTGTCACTTCCTGCACAGCACAGCGTTGCTGCTTTTTCTTCTCAAGCTGGGTGTGAGCCTTTGCATTCTTGGACTCTACTGCGGTACAGTCTGACCCTTGGGTGGGGTCTGACAGTAAGCTGGAGGCCGGAATGAGCTGGACAGGGGATGCTGGCAGCTGAGCCCAAGGAAGAAATTCTGCGGAAAAAAAAAAAAAGTGATATAATCTCCTTGGTTTAAAGTCCCCAGATTTCCCGAGAAAAGCACATCCAGTCCCCTTCAAGGTCACCCCTCCCCAGTCTCTGCACTGTAGGGCTCACACAGTAACACTTAGGGGGCCCTAACACCACTTAGACCCATTGCTCCTGTCGCCCCAGCGAGGCCCAGGCACACACACATTTACGTTACAGGGTTGATGCTCCCCCGTGCACTTTGGCTACCGCCCCTGTTCTGAGAAGAGCAGTAAGTTCAAAACCAGGGGCTCCCTGTGTGAGGACAGAGGCACCCCATGGAGTAGAAGTCTGATCACTTCTCAAGTTCTAGGGAAAAAAAAAAAAAAAACTGACCTTTAGCCTCGAATGGTTGCTTTCTCTAGATGCCATCTGTACCCTCATCCCCTCTTGAGAGTATTTTCATTGCTGGGTGTTGACACCTCTGGCTCTACCTGCTTGGGTCTCCCCCGAGCTATGTCCTTGCTAATTAAAGCCAGCTTTCTTCACAGTGTCCTGTGCTGTTGTCCACTAAAGAGCCTGCTACAAACTGCTTTCTGACTGAGCCCGCTCTGTGGGCCTCCTTCCAGGTCTTCCCAGGGAAGGTTCAAGAACAAAGATACCAGCTCATGACAGCTCCTCTCCCAGTCTGGACTGAGTCCAAAAGTTCGCTTACATCCGTATTTTCCTGGATTCCATTTATTCTTCTCTGTGAGTCTCTCCTCTTGCTCCATCGACTCAGCTAAGTGTTCTAATAAAATTTTATTTTTGTTGACGTCACCCAGGATCCTAGAGAACCTGGGCGGAGCCAGCCTGCTGCAGTGTCATCTGATAACGCCACACTGGCTTGCTTTGCTTCCTGCCTGTGTGCTGTTTTTATAAACAGCTGTCCCTTTCCTCTTCTGTGGAACCTCTTTAGGTGCGCTGGTTCAGTGCATCAGGTAGATTTGCACCGCCAAAAGCATTTGTGGGCTGGAAACCACTTCATTTTGCCCCAGTGTGTGGCGGTCCCTGGGAGGAGTAAGAGATCCAGAGGTCAGGAGAGGTGAAATTAAACAGCTTTATCCAAGCAACTGCCAGACGGCTTTCTTTAGTCTGAGGACTCAGGACATCTGTTACGCATAAGGCAGTAAATAAGAGATAAACATTTTTCAAAAGAGACCTCCTTTTCTCCTTCCACAAGTTATATTATACAAATAAGAATTTTGGAGCACTTGTGTCGCCATCTCAAAGATCCTGCTCATGTGGTGTCTGCTGTTTTTCCCACCCCAGGTCCTCATATCCTGTTGATTGCCGTCTGCACCCTGGCGGGGGTGGTGGTGCTGATTTTACTGATCGCTCTGCTGGTGCTGAGGTAACTCCACGCCTTCCTACCTGGGCGCCTCCTGCAGAGAGTTAGAAGGGCAAGGCAGAGATCTGCCTTTTGTTGATCATGCATGCTCACAAAGACAGCACTAGACAGACCTCAGGTCCTGAAGGCATTCTGAATCAGAAACCACACTGGGGCAGAATATTACCGAGTGGTTCCATTAAAGCTTTGGAGTTGCAGACTGAGACTCAAATCCCAGTTGCGTAACTTACCAGTTGTGTAACTTACCAGTTGTGTGGTCCTAAGCATGTTGCTTAGCAACATAAACAACTTATTAGCTTCAGTTTCTTCCTGGGAGACGCCATGAGGATTAGAAATGGGCCATGTATAGAGATGACATGTAGGAAGCATTATATAAATGAAAATGGTTATTTTTATTGTCTTACTGGTATATTGTAGAGGATTTAAAAGCCATTGTACACATAACACTTGGGTTAGCAGAAGCTTTAGAAATCATCTGTTGCAAATTAGCCTTAGCACGGGGAGGGAGAAACTCAGAATTATGCCACCAGGTAGTAAGTAGGACCACATCTCAGTTCCATGCTTTTGCTGTTTGACTTGGGTTTTCCATATTAAGTCGACTAGAAACAGTGTTTACTAAGAAATAGTTGTTGCATATGACACTACCTTCTAACCTGTGTATATTAAATACAGAATATAGTCAAGCATGGTGATGTGAGCCTATAACCCCAGCACTCTGGGAGCCTGAGGCAGGAAGATCACAAGTTTCAACTCACCACAGCCAACTTAGTGACTTAGTGAGATCCCATCTCAGAGTAAAAATATTAATAATAAAAAAAGAGGTGGAATAAAGCTCAGTCCAAGGCCCTGGGTTCAACCCCTAAATATCACACATACATAAAAATAAGCTACAAGCTACAGTGTGACCCTTTAGACATGAGCAAGAAGAATCCAAAATTTCACTTGGAAACCAAGTCCATATGGACATCATCTTAAGACAGGAGAAAATCACAAGAAAAAAGTGATGAGTGTTTGTCATTGTGTCTAAGCATGAGAAGCAGAGCTGGGCTTCATAACGGCTGCCAGGGAGACGTGGCAAACAGTGCCATGCATGTAACTTTATATTACAACAACCTGGCAAGGAAATAGTGATCTCTGAATCCTCTCATTCAATGTGAGTGACAGGCGACTATGTGGAGCCTCAGGAGTCTCCTGGGGTACAGAGATGGCAGCCTTCAGTGGCCTTACATTTGTGTTCCTTGCCTGTGGGTCTTTGGGTCATAAGCGGTGAACCCTGTGCTACTTTATATGCAAATAATAGAGGAATTCTAAGAGTTGGATGGAGGTGTAGAAGAGTAATCATTTCTGGGCAGAGAATACAGAGAAAGACATTATGAGTGACCGAGAGAAGGTAAGCTGGAGTTTACCAAGTGACTAAAAAGCAAAGACAAAGTCCAAGAGAGACAAATACCAACGGAAAAGATTCCAGAACCAGACTCAAGCAAGTATGGAGATTCTGAGCATGACAAAGATGATGCTATAAATCAGTTAGGAAATGATATTGGTAAAAAATAAAATTAAAACTCTACCTAAAACAATATGCAACAATACATTCATTCCATGTAGTTTTTTTGTTTTGTTTTGTTTTTTGTTTTTTTCTTTTTCGTTTTTATCGGTACCGGGGATTGAACTCACGACCGCCTGCTTACAAGGCAGGCGCTTATGCCGCTGAGCTAAATCCCCAGCCCCATTCCATGTAGTTTTAAATGTTAAAGACCTACAGTCTTTAACAAAAATTTCTGAATTTTGATGTTTGATTTAAAATTCAGAAGAAATTAATAAGAAAGAGCTGTATGCTTTCAAGTTTAAGAACACTTTTTAGCCAAGATAAAAAAGAAAAGTCATAGAAAACATGAAGAAATATAGTCATAATAAAATAAAAAATTTTCATATGGCAAAGTTAAAAGAAGCAATAAATTAGAATAAAGTATTATAAAACTTAAGAACAAAGGACCTGTTTTTCAGAATACAGAAAGAATGCATGTAAAATCCATAAGAATAAATAAAATAAAAATCACACAAAGCTTGGTGGCAGACACCCAAGATCCCAGCACGCGGGGCAAAGGCAGGAGTTCGGGGCCAGCCTGAACCACGTAGCAAGATCCTGTCTCAAAACACACACACACACACACAAAAGAAAAAAGGAAAGCAAAATTGTAAACAATTCTCTATGAGGTTATTAAATTACCAGTACTATGAAACATGTCACACATACCAGAAAAGTTAAATGTTTACTAGTAGCAAATGTTTTCACTAATGTGGGAAGTAGCAATTTCTAGACAAACGCTACCATCACCCTGGGAAGCAATTCAGTGGTATCTTTGAATTTCAAAGTGTGCCTCCTTAGACCCCAAGAATCCTTCATCTGTACCGTCTGAAGGAAATGATTAAAAAAACTGGAGCATTTTGTATGTTGGGATAAATATTACTTTCCTCAATGCTTTTCTGTGTTCTCTAAACATTTGCCTCTCAAGGTCATCAGTTTGATATTTTCTATTTCTCTCCTTACTGGTCAGTGCTCCAGCACTGACCAGTGTGGACAGGGAGCCGTACCCCTGAGCTGGCCTCCCCAGCACACATCTACCTGAGGGTACTGGGGCCCAGGGCTTCTCTCAGCTTTCAGGAGGTGAATGGCACAGACACTAATCAAAACATGTGGCCTGGTTCTACTGCTTTCACAGAAAATATAAAAAAGACAATGAGCTTCGTCAGAAAAAATGGTCCCACATTCCTCCTGAAAAAATCCTTCCTCTGGAGACCAATGAGACGAACCACGTCAGCCTGAAGGTAAGGGCTACATTTCCTGTTGATGAGCGGGGTAATGACAAGACTTCGGTAGCATAGTAGGAAATGTGCCCAGCTTGTTTAGATGTTTACTGCTTACAGCTTCTTGTCTTTCTCTTAATTTTCCATTGTCCTAAATGCCAGCCAATTATCCAATTAGCACTGGAGGCTGAGACATAGTGATACCCTGCTTTGCCTCTGATGGAGAAGACAAAGGTACTTAGGAGGAATTTATCCAGAAAAGGATGTAGGAATGGTTAGAACTTGTGAATTTTCCTAAGCCTTGAATATTGATCTACTCAAATTAAAGCTCTGTCACTAATGTTGCGGGTTACTGTTGAAGCAAAAAGCTCCCACATTTTCCCTGTGACAGTCAGCCTTCCTGCACTGTGACAAAATACTTGATAAAAACAACTTAAGGGAAAAAGGTTTATCATGGCTCAATTTCAGAGGTTCCAGTCCATGGAGCTCCATTTTGCTTTACATCTGTGGTGTTTACCTCATGGCAGCCAAGAAACAGAGGGGGAGAAAGCCAGAGAGGAAGGACCTGGGAATAGCAATAGTCCCCAAAGTCCCCGGTGACCCACTTCCTTCAGGCAGGCACCTCCTCCTGGCTCCATCTCGTGCCAGTAATGCATCACAGTGTGTTCTAGTGGACGAACCCACAGAGGACGTTAAAGCCCTCACGATCCAGTCACTTCTGTAATTCTCACCGTTGAACATTGCTATTTTGGGGATCAAGCTCTTGACACGAGTCTTTGGGGAGCCCTTTATCTGGAAACCATAACCCTCCATCATCAGGGAAATAAAATCAGTTGCCAGTATTATAAGCCCTCCCCCACCTCCCTGTACTGTGGTCAGTGCTGGACTCGTCTGCTCCTCACAAGCCTAAGACCCCAGTGCCTCCCACATCCTGTATGATTGATTACCAGGGTTTTACACCAAAGAATATTCAGAAGAACTGCATCCCTTCCACCTCCAAAGGGAACTGAGGATTCTGAGCTAAGATGATGAGGTAGTGTGCTTCGAGAAGCCCTCTGCCCTGCCAAAGTCAGCAAAAGAGGACCCAGTTCATCTTTGGAGTCCCTCTGTCAACGCAAACCCTGCATGCCGCCCTCTCTTGGCTCAGATTCCTCTGCAGCTGTACGTGGACCAGTTAGGTTCTCCAGAAATGGTGCTGTGCTCCAAAGTGGACCTCCTGCTGCATTCTGAGCCTCACGTTTAAACACTCTGTTCACAAAGAACAGTCTCTGCAGTGAGTGTCCAAGTGTAACTGATCTTGCAGTAACTTGCAAGAATAAACCACAAATGATTACATTTTTAAAGAGAAAATATGCTGGCCTAAATAACTAGCTGTAAATACCTGGTGTTAAAAGTTTTAGATAGATTAAATCTTACAGAGTTTATTTAAGCAAAAAGTGATTCATAACTTGAGAAGCATTCAAAGCCAAAAGAGGCCTCAGCAAGCACCTCAGTGTGGGCAGTAAGTTTTTACAGGTTACTCACAGAGGTAATTACAAAAGCGACTTCATTGGTCACAGGGAGGTATTTGCTGTATCTGAGCATGGTCTGATCAGTTAGATGCCTGTGATTGGCTGAAACTCAGCTACTTGTTCATGTGTGTACATTATTTTGAGTTGCTACACAGCAACTCAAAATACAGAATCAGCTACAGGTCAGTGGTATCCAGGAACCACAATTTAAAGAGGGGAAAGGTTTATCTTGGTTCACAGTTTCAGTCCATAACCAGCTGGCTCCAAAGTAGGAACAGGATGACCATGGATCATGGCAGCCAGGAAGCAGAGAGAGAAGGAAGGAGGCGGGGATAAGAATACACTTCCGGGTCATGACCTATGGGCATACCTCCCAACAGCACATTCAGCTACTAAACTCATCAGTGGATGGACCCACCCATGAGAATAGGGCCCACCTGCCCCAATCACGTTCTACACCCATGAGAACTTGGGGGACTTGTCAGATGTAAAGTGAAATAATGTATTGGTTTTTGTTGTTGTTGTTGTTGGCAGTTTTGGGGGGAGGTGAAGTACTAGGGCTGAACCCAGAGCCTTCACACTGAGTTATGTCCTCAGTCCTTATTTTTCATTTTCAGACAGGGTCTTGCTAAGTCACTAACTTGTTAAGGCTGGACTCAAATTTGCAATCCTCCTGACTCAGTCTCTCAAAATGCTGGTACTACAGGTGTGTGCTGACACCCTGGGCTGCTTCTCTGGTTTAACTCTAGGAAAAGGCAAAGAGATTTTCAGGACTGCATGCTCCTGTTTCTAGAGACAGGATTCGGGACAAGGGGACAGTGGAAATTAAAATTGAGGCAACAGCATTAACAGGCAAAATGCTTTAATTAAGAAGAAAACAGGAAAGGGGCTTCATCTTAAGGAGAATAACTGAAGGGGACACTGGTCTGATGAAGAACATAAGACTCGGCCCTTACCAAAAATATGAGACTCGCTTTTACGGCACCACGGGACTGGGCTGGGCACCACAGCATCCCACTGGGTCAGGATAGCATTTGTGTGACTATTTCCTCGTGTGCTATGGGATTCCTCCCAGTGTAAGTTCTGGATCAGCAGCTACATTAGTCCTTGGAGACATGTAGAGCCCCCTGCTATTACAGCACCCCTGGCCCTTGAGCTAACGGGGTCTCCCACACACAGTCAGCAAGGGAGGATGGAAAAAGCAAGATGTCTCCTCTTTGGGGTAACAGCTCACGGGCCTCGGCCGTGTCTCCTGGCCCATGCATGTCCACCTTTGAAAAGCCAACTTGAAACCATCCTTCCGTGGATTCTGGAGGCTTCCCTTAAATGGTGACTTAAGAATTTTGTTAACTTAAGGAATTTATGCCTGCATGTATTCAGGGTGTAGCTGATGTCAACATTTATAGTTTGCATTGTGCCGGGCAGGCACTATACTTGGAATCTGACAGAATTTATTTCATTCACATTTTAGGTTGGACTTGCAAATTTTAACACAGTTTTTTATGAGAAACACATTGAAAGGTACACTATTACTCTCTCTGTTTAGATCAGGAGTCATTAACTGGCTGGTGAAGATGTGAGTGTGTGTGTATATTCAGTATTTAACAGCTTCAAAAACTGATTGCCAACATGTAACTGTCATGAAACAGCATACTTAACTCCATTTTGCCAGCTAATTTTGACAAATGAGGTGATCTGACAATTCTAGGCTGAACCCAGAGCTCCTGGCACCTGCCACCCTAGACACCTCGCCATCTCATTTACATTGCTATTTGAACTTTTAGGCACGAATTTGCAACTCAAATGCATGTCATCTTTCTCCAGCATCCATCTCTGAGGGCATCTGTTAGTAGCTGCAGGCCAAGATTCTCCATAGGAGGGAGCCAGGGGGAGAGGGAAGCAAAGACAACCCCTAAACAAAGTAGGACCTTGAGAGGAATGGAGGGAACTCCAGAATAAGCCCAAGAGTGATGGACACCCGAAAGAGGAGGTTACTGGGGTGAGAAGTGAGTAGCAGGAGAAAAAGCACAAGTCCATCCCAAGTGCTTCTGGGAGCTACCCAGCATGCACTGGAGCAGATGGCAGGCACAGCCCCTCTGGAAGAGCCTCTCAGCCTTTGGCTGCCGGTGGACAAGATAGTCATGAAGCTCTGGAGTAACTAGTGTTTTCTTGTGCCAGATTGATGATGACAAGAAACGGGACACAGTCCAAAGACTACGACAGTGCAAATATGACCAAAAGGTAAGTGTTAGTTTCCTCTTTTCTCTGAACTTTCAGCTGGGTACATTCTGGGCCTCCTGATGGACTGGTCTTTGCTCCAGCCCCTAACCCTGGCAGCCCAACTTTCCCCCTGTTCTCTGAGCTTTACAGGGATGATCAGGGCTCTAATTCAAGCAGTTTCTACAAAACTCATAATTCTAGGGAAATGGGAGGGCAAACTGAATGTTTTGAAGAGGTGGGATACAGGCAGGAAAGGAAACATGAAAGAGATTCAGAACACTCAGGGTGACCCTAGTATTGTATTTTGGGCCCTTCTTGAAAATTCCATATGGGAGTTTTGTTCTTTCTTTCTTTCTTCTTTCTTTTCTTTTCTTTTCTTTTCTTTCTTTCTTTCTTTCTTTCTTTCTTTCTTTCTTTCTTTCTTTCTTTTCTTTCTTTCTTTCCTTCCTTCCTTCCTTCCTTCCCTCTTTCCTATCTTCTTTATATTTCCCCTGATTTTTGTACAAGAAACATTCAAACCCAGATCTACTATCTTCTAGGTGCTAGGCACTGGAGATCTAAACATCAATCAAATACTGTCACTGCTCCAAAAAGCTTATAGTCTAATGGACACACACACACATATCATTATAATAGGCATATAAGTAATTATATGCAACAATATCTCCTTAATTGAATTGATCTTTGCAGCGAGTGATTCTCAAAGATCTCAAGTACAGTGATGGCAATTTCAGTGAGAAACAGAAGATAGAATTGAACAAGGTATGTGTCCCTTACTTCAAACTTTTGAGAAGAATTAGCTTCATTCTATTTTCCCTAAACACTGACTGTAACCAAGACAGTTACTTTTCTCTTGTTGCTGGAACAAAGTATTTGACACTCAAAATTAAGGAAGGAAAAGTTTATTTAGCTCACAGTTTGTGGAGGTTTCAGTCCATAATCAACTGGTTGCAAGGCAGGGTGGTGTGGTACAGGGGCAACATTCAAGGCAACAGAAAACAATAAAGTAACAAAAACTAAAGTTGAGGAAGAGCAAGCTTCTTTTCCTTCCCTTTATGCCACATAGGCCTCCCCACTCCCCAGGGTGGGTGTAACACTCACAAAATCACCTTGCCCTGCTCTTGCACTGGATGAGGATGTTCACAAAGTAAGCACCTTGGCTCCCTGCTGAGTCCCTTGGTTAAGCCTCTAACTTGTAAAATTGATACAATGTATCAACCATAACACACTGACCTTCTCAATAGAGTAAGGTCAGTTATAATGAATGTTGACAGCGAAGCCCTCAGACTAACAAATTGCTTCCTGTGGCAAATTCTGCTCCAGGATGTTGGAATGAGGTCTGGTGATGTGAAACATTTCGGAAATCTGCTATGTGTCTTACTATATGGTCCTGACATTATTTGACAGCTGTTAGAATTTGCAGCCAACTCCCTTGCTGACAAAGGGAAAAATACTGAATAAGATACAGCATAGTAAGAAATGGGTACTGACATTCAATTTACTAAGTGCAATACATCTTCCCACAGATCTCAAACAAAATGTGTTTTATTGGCATATTTCCTTTGATACCCTTTTCTGACTGATTTGTTTATTTATGCTAACATATTCTCCTAGCTGCTTCAAAGTGACTTTTACAACCTGACCAAGTTCTACGGCACCGTGAAGCTGGATACGAGGATCTTCGGGGTGATAGAGTACTGTGAGAGAGGGTCCCTCCGGGTAAGAAACTGCGGTCATTTCCAGTTTCCTGAGTGGTCAGTCATGTTTTAACATCAACAGATGTGTTAGTCAGATGTCATTGCTGTGGCAAAGTACCTGAGAATAACAACTTAAAAAGAGGAAAGGTACATTTCGGCTCACGATTTCAGCCACGTTTGGTGGGCTTCATTGCATCTGGGCCTGCAATAGAGCACAACATCACGGCAGAAGGGCCCAGCAGTGGAAGGCTGCTCATTTCAGGACAGCCAGGAAACTGAGAGAAAACCAGAACCAGAGAGGAAGGGGCTGCCAGAGCACCAGATACAGGTCACGCCCAGCCTCCCGGCAGCTGTGAACTCAGCAGTGAGAGAGTGGCCCTTTGATCCAGTCACTGCCCCCAAGCCCATCGGCTTGCCTTTGGGGGACATTTTAGACCCAAACTACAGTAGCAAACTTTAAAAAGAAAATTATTCAGTAAAGTACAATTACAGAGATTTCAGGAGAAATCGTTGATCCTCTCAGCTTTTCAAAATAGATCGCTTCAATTCTATCCATCAGAGCTACATCTTATGAACATGCCAAAAATATTCAGAAAAGGAGTATAGATGGGGGGACAGAACAGAAGTGAAAAAGTGAGTAATTCTTTTGAAATACAATTTATTTTGCTTGAATCCTTCTTTGTGTATTAAAAGAGCAGTAGATGGTTGTTAGGAAGACTTGCCCAGGAGTCCTGGCTCTGCTGCTGCTGTGTAAAGTCCTGCTCCACTCTCCCTTAGGAGGGACTGAGGTTCACCCAGGAGTCACCAGCTGGGGTTCTGCGCAGGTCCAAAGAGAAACGATGAGCTATGGCTGGGTGGAGTCAAGTTCATAGGAGGGACGGGCATTGTGCTGGCAATATCAGATCATGACATTGCGTATGCAAAAACAAAGTCAAAAATCAGGCAGAAATGGGACTTTAAAAGGGCCAGAGAAGGAAAGGATCCAGGACGATGGCTTCAAAAAGCACTGGAACGTTTGTCCTTCACCTGAGGACTGTCTGGCTTTGGGTCTCTGGCCACTTTTAGGTAGAGTGACCGTAAGTTACCAGGATATTTTGACAGTGAAGGGGGTAAGTATGCTAGAGGAGCTGATGTAAACTGTAGCTGGTTATCCAAGCAAACTGGGATGTGTGGTCACCTTGCCTTGGGCCACTTTCAGATCCAGTACCTCTCCGAAGCCCCACGTCCTCATAACAAAGCCACAACCCTGAGACCAGAGCCTGCAGCAGCTCTAGAAACTTTAAAAAGGTCCAGATAATCATAAGTCAACAAAATGTAAAATTAGGCATTTGTTAAAACTAAGAAGTTAGACATTCTGAATTGTTAACATGCTTGAGTTTTCAGAAAAATAAAAACGCTAGCTTTCCAAACATGTAGTATAAACTCGAATCTATCTAAAAAACAAAAGTCATTACTGATAGGATTATTTCCAAAAGATGTGAAGTATAAAACAAAAGAGGCCTTTATTCTGAGAACACGGAGAGAGATGACTGACACCCCCTGGCCGCTGAAGTCCGGTGATCTCTCTAGCGGACACGTGGCCTGGCGTGGCGAGGTATATAAGTAGCCTAAGCTTAGGGTAGTGCCCCAGGGCCATTAGAGATGCACAGGTATTTCATTGGCACACGTGTGGCACCAGGGGCAGATTCCTAAGGGTGGGGGGAGACAGAGTCACAGGTAAATCTCTAGGGGCAGGGGAGGTTCCGGTTGAGGCTTTTTTGGCCAAAACCCTTTCAATTACCCTAAATGCTACTTTTTTCTAAAAACAAACAAAAACTAAATAACCTAAGCACACAAATTTTAGGATAACAATGGCCTAAGGGAAAGAAATTTTAAAATATCGATCATTACAAAACAAAATAGACATTTAAAATTTTTTTGACCATTTTAAATTTTAAAGGGTACTTACAAGTTATAAAAAACCCTGACTAAACCACACAATCCTCTAATTATGATTTTAAAAACAAACATACCGATACATAAAAGTAGGCATAAACAAGCAGTAAAAAGATGCTCTTGATATGGTGACTATTAAATTTTTATAACTATTAAAATATATAGAATTTGTCTTACTCCAGGAAGAATGGCTGTCATCAAGTCTCATAACATAACAAATGCTGGAGATGTTGTAGGGGAAAAAATTCTTCTACATTGTTGGTGAGAATGTAAACTAGTACAACCACTATGGAAATCACTGTAGAGATTCCTCAGAAAACTAATAACAGGGCCAGACATGTAGCTCAGCAGTGCAGCACCTGCCTGGCAAGCGTGAGGCCCTGAGCTCAATTCCTGATACAAAAACATCATTATTCAGAATACTAATAACAGAGATTCTATTTGACTCAGCTATATCTCACCCATGTATCTTCCTGAAAGACTTAAAGACAAATATTACAGTGATATATGCATATCTACATTTGTAATAGCACAATTCACAATAACTGTGTCTTGGAAGTAGCCTATAGGCCCAACAGATGGATGGATACAGAAAATGTAATATACACACACACACACACCACACACAATGGAGTACTACTCAACCATAAAGAAGGATAGATTTGAGTCCTTCATAGGAAAGTGGAGGACCGTGAGACCACAGTCCTAAGTAAGGTAAATCGGACACAGAGAGCTGATTACCACTTGGTTTCTCTTATAAGAGAAATCCAAAGTAGAAATAATTTAGAAGCAAAATAAAAGACAAATGATAGGAAACAGGGAAGCTGAGGCAGGAGGATCATTGCAAATTCAAGAGCAGCCTGGCCAGGGATTTAGCTCGGTGTCATGAGCACCTACCTGACAAGCATGAGGTCATGAATTGGATCCCTGGTACAAAAAAAAAAAGAAAGAAAGAAAGAAAGAAAGAAAACAGAGAGGAGGACTTTGTGGAGATGGAGGGCAGCAGGAGGATGGGGACAGGGAAGAGACGTAAAGATGACCGAGATGCAGATGTGATATGTGTATATATCAGTTGCTAAAGTCAAACATAATTATTATGTATTAGAAACATATGCTAATAAAAAACTACATAAATAAAAGATGAAAGTTAAGCAAAAAATATAATGTTAAAGATAGAAAATTTCAGAGAGAATATAATTAAGATCTAACTCAAAAAGTGAGAGTTTAAGTAGCCCGGTAAAATCTCTTCCCCTCACACTTCTGACACCAATGTGGGAATTTTCCACACTCACAGCCGGTACCGCTGCTCTCTGGACTCCAGCTAGATGTTCATTTCAGTTCTGACACCGACCACCCAGGTGTGCTCCGGACTCGGGAGCTCTGAACTCCTGTTCTTCAGTGGGTTGTGCAGGTGTCAGCCCCCAGGAGTGACCGACGGCCCTTTGGCCATTGTGATGAATTCTGCTTCCGGCTTTTGCCCTCCCTGGACATGGAGGAGAGGTGGGCTGACATTGCTCTCCCCTTTGGTGGTCCTCTGGGCTACCTGTTCTTAAACTAACAAGAATCCCAAGAACCACCTCCTTTGCATGATTTAGATGCAATCATGAATAACAAAAGCCCTCTCCTTGTGCCTATCAGAAAATTACAAAGGTCTCAGGAGCTCTTTACCAGGAACCAGGGATGTTAAAACCAAACATATTTCATGTTATTTCCCAATATCACACCAATAACAATAGAAGAAATTGTCATCTCCATACTGAGGACATCAATTTCGGTAATTCTTATTGTCTATATAAATTCTGTTCTACAGTTAAACAAAAACGTAAACATTCTCCAAATTCATTTGGCATTCAACAAGGCTAGCATAAGATTGATATTATGATCTGACTAAAGGCTAATTATGATTATGAACATGCATGGAAAAACACAAAATTCTAGTAATGCTAAGCCAGCTGCATAGGAAAAGCATAACACAAACAGTTGGATATGATTAGTTCAATGAATGATGAAGATATATTTGTAATGTGTCTCATCGAAATTGTAGAGAAAAATCATGAGGTCATCACTTAATGGATGCTGAAATGATCATTTTGACATTGATAAACAACAGCATCAGGTCATTTTGATGCTGATAGACAAAATAAATATATATTTCTGATAACAACTACTTCAGGTCTTTCAGCATTAGGAATGTTTCCCATGAGGCCTAGACCACTATCTGATTAGCGAAGCGATATAGAAATTTTAGACACCAATTAATGGAGCCTAAACCTCTTTCAGTCCCTAAAGCTCAGCTTTCTGGCAGCATTCTGATTCATACCCATAGTGTTTTTTACTCTCTTCCCTAAGGTAGGAATCTGCAGTGATCAGAGCAGTGCTGGGCCCTTTTTGGCATTGCCACATGGTTAGGAGCAGCTAACTATGGGAGCTTTTCCAGGAAGCCACTCCTTGGTATTATCCATGTGCATGCAAAGACCACGTCAAAGCAAGCTCCCCAAGCCCTTCCCTGAGAATCCTCTTTAGATGTCAATCCAGGGCAAGTCCCATCACAACCTACTTTTGCTGGGAAACAAATGAGAAAGACAAAATTCAGGATAGCACACTTTCTGTCGTTCACACATAATCAGCTTTCCAGATAGATGAGTTCCAGGCCACAGGTTCCATCAAATGTGAGTTGAAAATGTTTAGGGAGGATGCTGTGTCCCTACTTGCCATGGATAACGATGATGACATTTCCTTGCCATTATTCTCTAAACAATACATTGAGACAAGTATTTACATAACATTAATGTTGTATTAGGTTTTGCAAGTCATCTAAGGCCGATATAAATCTACAGGAGGACTGCACAGGCCATGTGTAAAAACGAAGCCATTTTACACAGGAAATGTGAGAATCTGAATGTTGCAGTATCCCTGGATGTAGTGGAGTCAGGCTCCTGTGGATACTGAGGGACAACAGTATGCAGTGACCTTGCCTGTCCTTGTTTGGGAACCATTGATTGATTCATGCAGAAAATATTTATGAAGCATCTATTACATTCCAGCCATGACTGTTGCAGATACAGCCGTAAACAAAATTATCACAGAGTTTACATTTTTTCAAATAAAGCAAAGACAAGAAGCAAATAAATAAAAATATAACATATGCCAAGTTCTAGGAAGGGAAAGGTGCTGTTTAAGATATGGTCACCAAGCTAGGCATGGTGGCACATGCCTGTAATCCCAGCACTTGGGAAGCTGAGGCAGGAGGATTGCCATGAGTTCGAGGCCAGTCTAGGTTGCAGAAGGAAACTCTGCTTCAACAAAAAAAAAAGAAAGGAAGGAGTCGAGGAAAGAAAGGAAGGGAGGAAAGAGAGCGGAGAGAGAGAGGAAACAAAAGGAAAAGAAAATGATACATGAGCACGAAGGCAGACTCTTCTGAAAAGGCGGCCCAGGGCAGGCCTGTGTGCAATGGGGCTGTAAAACCAGGTCATAAAAGAGGCCATGGAGATGGGTACTCATCACCTGTCCCCAAGAAAGAAAAAATGATTAAGTGTTGGTATATCAGAGAACCCCAGGCTTAATTTCAAAATTCTTCTGTGGCTCCTCCCTCAAAATGACTGTTAGTACAGAATGAAGGAATATTGCCTTAGTGACAAAAATGATCTATCATAAAGACCAACCTCCTCCTCCTCCTTAACCAAGAATCCCACACCCTCACCCTCCATACTACTGTTAGTTAACATTCTAACCAACGCTCTCAGTCATAAACCAGAAATAAGATATATAATAACCAAAAGCAATTAAATTTTTATTTAAGGATTGTGTGACTGTCTCAAGTGAAAAAAGTTACAGAAGTTTACTATGATGATTACATACAAAGTAGTGGAAGAAATTTTTGTAAGTCATATATACAAGCAGCATTAGAAAGCACAACTCAAACAAATCACTTGTTGCAATTTTTATTTTTATTTTTTGGTGCATGTTTTAGCGCACAGCGGTTACATTCCTCAAGGGGAGTTCATACCTTTGTGTAGCACATCCTAATTCTTTTTCATCTCCTTCCCTGCCCATTCTCTCCCATCCTTCATCTCTTGGTCCCCTCCTTTCTTGCAAAAGATCTATCTCCCTATATCTTATTATGTCTTTTAGTTTGCTCATTATTTATACTTTGGGTTTCTCATGAGACAAGCTTGAGTGTCTGATTTATATCACTCAATAGCATGGCATCAAATGCATCCATTTTGACAAATGATTGGAGTTTATCCTCCGATATGGCCGAGAGTGAAATGCTAACACGAAATACAAAAAAGCCATAGAAGAACATTTAGCTAGGCATGGTGGCATGCGCCTGTAATACTAGCTCCTTGGAAGACTGAATCAGGAGGTTCTTGAGTTCCAGACCAGCCTGGGCAACTTTTAAGACTGTCTTTAAAAATAAGGCTGAAGATACACCCCAGTGTGAAGATGCTGAGTGCAATTCCTTGGGGCGGGGGGTTTAGTATAAAAATTCCTTATGATAGCAAATAAATTTTAAGATAGCAAAAATTCTGAGGCTGGGGATTTAGCTCAGCGGCATAAGCGCCTGCCTTGCAAGCAGGCAGTCGTGAGTTCAATCACCGGTACCGATAAAAATGAAAAAGACAAAAAAAATTCTCTAAGATAGCAAATAAATCTTAAAACTTAAAAATTAAATTCTTAGATAGCAATCAATGATGCATGAGAGCAAACTGGTACAACTGAGCATCTCTAATCTGAAAATTCAAAATGCTCCAAAATCTGAAACTTTTTGAATACTACCGTGATCCCCACAGTGGAAAATTCCACAACTGACTCATGTAAAATGGGTTGCAGTGAAATTTCAATTGCACTAACCATAATGTATAATGTTTTCCTTCCGTCTATGTGTACGTGAAACATAAGTGAATTTCATGTTTAAACTTGGGTCCTGTACTCAGGATACTTCAAATATTCCACAACCTGGAAAACATCTAAACTATCAAACACTTCTGGTCCCAAGCATTTCAGATAGGAGATACTCTTGTGTAATAGCTGTGTTGTTAGTTAAGTATTCGGGCGTTTGCTGTTAGTTTTAAACTCCTGGTTGGCTTGCAGTCACGTAGGATGAGAACATTACATCACGGGAAGCAGAGGGTACTTAAGTCTGAGCTGCTTTTAGCCAGTTTATTAACATACCAACACATGACGATGTGTGTTCATGAAAACGAGGACCAGAAAGCTCTCATTTACTCCCAATCCTCAGGCCTCAAGATTAGATCAGTACTCTAGGCACGTGTCAAATACAGTTATACTTTGTATTATTTGGCTCATAATGGTTTCTGCACACCACCCTTCTTCATAATATTCACCTTGTTCCTTTTTTTCTCCTACTTAGGAAGTTTTAAATGATACAATTTCCTACCCTGATGGCACATTCATGGATTGGGAATTTAAGATCTCTGTCTTGTATGACATTGCTAAGGTAAGAGAGGGACCTGGGAATGTAAAAAAAAAAAAAGTCATTTATAAAAATCAAAACAGACCCAGCAAGTAATTCAATCTCACTGTGCACTGATTTCTTCATCTGAAAAACTATAATAATAATAGTTCTGTCATATGTGAGGATTTTAAAAAATAATGCCAGTAGCTTACTAATCAGACCTAGTACAAGTCAATGTTCAATGTGATTGCAATGTACAGTGTAGTATTGGTTATATTATTATATACTTTGTATTCTGGGTGTAAGGCACACACTTTCATAGATTTACCGAAAGTCAAAATAATATAAAACTCGGGGGCTGGGGATTTAGCTCAGCAGCATAAGTGCCTGCCTTGCAAGCAGGCAGTCGTGAGTTCGATCCCCGGTACCTATAAAAAGGAAAAAGAGCAAAAAAATAATAATAATATAAAATTTGCAAAAAGATCACCAAATCTTCAACTTTATAAAGAAATTACGAGAAACGGCAGCCATCTTGCACAAGACAATGTGAAATTTTGGCATGATTATGCTCTCACATGGTATGAAAAAGGAAGCAGGTACCAGTACCTCAAGAAGGAAGATGAGTCAGTCCTGAGAGAGCTGTTTTACACAGTTTTAAATCAATTAAGAAAAATATTAGTGTAACCTCCATGCCACACACTTTGCACTTTTGTGATTCAGACTGATATCTGTTGTGATATCTCTGACCACTAGAGGGCAGCACACTAGCAAAAAATCTACTTCCTCTTTCAAAACTGAAGTAGTGAAATATTTCTATTTCAAAACAGCATGAAAACCATTCAGTTTTAGGAAGTAATCTAGTCTAGAACTCCTTCAGAAAAGCAATGATGTTATTTTTATATTAAAACTAACTGTCAGAGGACCAGAGACATACGCAAGATCACAGAGCAAATACGTGGTGAGAAGAAATTTAAGAACCACCATGCCTTGTACTACATACAATGACTTAACCAGAGCGTTTAGACAGTTGACTTTTTACTATGTCATCTAAATATACTTCACAGTGCATAAGCAAATGTTAGAGCTGTAGTGATATTTTAAAATAAAAATTTTAAAGTAAAATTAATGACACTAAATTTAAAATTATATAGTGTAACTATAAGTATGCTGAAATGGCTTGAAAATGTTACTTCTTTAAAATAATCAAGCAGCCAAAGTGTTTCCTATTTCTGTCTTCCTGCCATCTGAAAAATTTTAGGGGATGTCATATCTGCACTCCAGTAAAATAGAAGTCCATGGTCGCCTGAAATCCACCAACTGTGTTGTAGACAGCAGAATGGTGGTGAAGATCACTGATTTTGGCTACAATTCCATTTTGCCTCCAAAAAAAGGTCTGTAATGAATGGACTTTTTGTTAATTTTCTACTTGTTTTGGTTTGGTTTTACAAATTATTCTCAAGCCCATATAGCAAGCTCATAAAATGATGATGCAGATCAGAAAACAATGACCTGATGCCGTCCAAGGCAAGATTCTAGTTCATTCTCCAGCAAGGAATGCTTGTCTGTAGAGCATTTCTTGCATTAACAAACATCCCCCAGATAGAGATCGTTGTACTCCAGGAAGGACGGCTGTCATCATAACTCAGAAAACAAATGCTGGCAAGCAGGTAGGGGAAAAGGAATCCTTCTGTTGTACTAGTAAGAATACAAAGTAGTATAATCAGAATGGAGATTTCTCAAAAACTAAAGCAAAAAATTCCATTTCTCCCAGCTGTTCCCCTTCTAGATATCTATCCGAAAGAGTTAAAGTCATCATATTATAGTGACTCAGGTACATCTATGTTTATAGCAGCACAACTCGCAAGAGCTAAACTTGGGAAATGGACTGTAGGCCATCCGTCATCAGTGGATGGATAGAGAAAACGTGGTATCACACACAGTAGAGTAGTACTCACTGTTAAAGGGGGATTAAATATGAGTTATTCACGGGAAGTGGTTACACCTCAAGATCCTAATACTATGTGCAATAAAGCAGACACATTAAATATCATAAGGTTTGTCCTATATGAGAACACAAAGTATAATTTAAAGGGCAAAATAAAAGATAGATGATAGGAAACAGAGATAGACTTCATGGAGATGGCAAGGGGGTCTAGAGATGGAGGGGGAGACGGGAGGATGGGGAAGGCAGGGGAAAATAACGGGGAGCAAGGTGCGACATGTATATACACCACCTCACCAAGATGAGTGTAACTGTTATGTATCACACACGTGCTCATTTAAAAGAGAAAATTAATGTGAAAAAATCTCAACATCGACTAAGGACCATCATCTTCAATGTTCAGTTGTGCATTCTTCTGTACCAGTGAGGAACCATGAAGAGCTATTGGCTTGGCTTGGGGAGACAAAATAGGATGCAAAGATTCAGGTTAGGGCCGAAGGAGACCTTCTGTAACCTGCTTCGCTTGTAGACCTGAAGCTGGAAGAGGCTACGAGCTTTATCTCTAAAGTTAGAACATGAAGCATTGCCTATTCCAGATAGCATTCGCTCACCTGTGCTCCTAAGACATGAAAAACTCTCCGCAGTAAACTGCTTGATCCCTTTCACAGTTCTGGTGAGGATTAAAAAATGGCTCATACTGTATGAATAAATGTGATTTATAAGAAAAGGAACTTTCCATGTTGAATGTTTAGCCTTTCTGTACTATGACTCATGGTTCAACAGCCGCAGCCATCCATGTTGCCCCGAAATAGTACCAGATTCCAAAACTACGTCTCTGAGTCCATTTACCACCCTTAGTTTTCTGATAAAGGAAAAATTACAGTCCACCCCTACTTCCGTCAAGTTTAGGATGACAGCAGACTCAACCCAATAAATTCTTATTGAAGACCTACTGTGTGCCAAGGCAGACTCACTATGTAACAGAAAAAAACCTCTTCCTCCGATGACTCCAGAGGGACTGTAGGTCAACTCCTGTCCTCCTGGACACGACTCAGTTTACCCTCTGTGGTGCTGTCTACCCAAGGTTTTGGCATAAGAAGACCTCAATACCTTTTCAGCAACTGTAGACCTTTAGATCAGGGTTACATGGGTCCCAAACCACAGATACTCACAAGACAGGAACTGAAAAAGGCAGCAAATGTTTAGAGGGAGAATCTCATCCAAAATGCCTCCTCCTGAGAGTACTGCGGGCCTCCCAGCGTGAGGTCGGCACACTGTTCTCTGAAACTGCTGAGAACAGACGTGGTAAGACGCTTGCAGAGGGCGAGGTGATCCCAAGGGTGCTGAAGGAAATGACTTCTAGCCCACTGTCACCGCTAAATAGGATCTGTAACAGGAATGCAAAATGCAAGTGATGGTAGGAACTAAACACAGGACTGGGCATTGCACTTGTGTGATGCCGACAAGCTGTAAAGTCTTAGAATTGCGGGGACATGGTAACATGTGAGGAGTGTGTGCATTACATCTTTTAAAGAATACTGTGAAAAGCTAAGAAAACCCAGCGGGCAACACTGCCGGTCCTGGAGACTGCCAGTACATTATGCCTAGAAATATCACCGGCAGCCCCTTTGTGCTGTATTTACCTTCTTTAGTAATTGTATGTTTGAAATGCACATAAACAGCCAGGTGTGATGGCACAGCCCTGTGATCCCAGCTCTCTGGCAGGCTGAAGCAGGAGATGGCAGGTTTGAGCCCAGCCTGGGGCACTTAGCTACCTTAGCAGGATCCTGTCTCAGGCCAGCTGTCTCAAAATAAAATAAAAAGAGGTCGGGCTGTGGCTTGTTATAAAAGCCCTGAGTTCCATCCTTAGTCCTGCAAAAAAAAAAAAAAGAAGAAAGAAAGAAAAAAAGGTGTAGCATTAATAAAGTCTAATGATTTCAATAATAAAATACACATTTCACATTATTATTACTATTATTGGTACCAGGAATTGAACTCACAACCTAGCACTTGCCAGACAGGTGCTTATGCCACTGGGCCAAATCCCCAGCCTCCACATTAATTTTAATATATATGTTTATATTTATTTGTGTATAAAATGTTTCACAGCTTCACTTTAGATGTCCCATCAGCTATCACATTCCTCAGCCTCTTATATTGCACATTCATTCAACATGCATTCACTGAACACCTACTGTACACCAGGCCCTCTGCCAGGTAGACTCGGAGCTTTCAGGGTTGTCCTCTTGCCCTATGACCTCACTCAGATTCTACAATTTCCTAGTTTAAAAGGTAAGTATGCATTCTGTCTCCTATCCCTAGAATCAGTAGCAATTCTTCAAAAGTTTGGGGTCGTTTCCCAAGGTCACCAGCATTCAGGATGGACAGTACAGAGTTTTAAGAAAAGCAGGTCAGAGGCCCACAGGCCGCTCAACCCCTCAGTTTCTCCGTCTCGATGTCCAAATGCACAGACCTGTGGACAGCCCCGGAGCACCTGCGCCAGGCCAGCACCTCTCAGAAGGGAGATGTGTACAGCTTCGGGATCATCGCCCAGGAGATCATCATGCGGAGGGAAACCTTCTACACCTTGAGCTGCCGGGACCAGAAGGGTAAGTCTGCACCCCTCTCTGTCCCTGTGGGGAACTGGACAAGCTGCCTTCACCAAGGCTCTGGTTTCTTGGCACAGATAGTGGGAGGGTTAAGCATTAAGAGTGTTGTAAAAAGTATCATTGCCCGACATTACTGTTATCAGTGGTTTTTTCTTGTGATTCCAATAAGAGACTATGTCTGCTTAATACCTGAAATAGATCACAGTAACAAGACAACACACATATTTTTAGTTCTATGGAAAGAAGAGTTACAATTTTTTAAATCTCATTCTTTCCGTGGAAAATGCATTATTCCATCCATTCAGTTCTTGCTTATTGAGCATTTATTATGTGTCAGCTTTTAACTGAGTTGAGTAGAAGAAAACTAGGGGGTATAGGGAAGGTGCTAGAGCCTGGAGGAGAGGAAGCCTACTGAAGGTGGTGCCCAAGATGAGTTTTAGGGTGTTAGGCCCTAACCTTAAAGTACCTTCCTGGTTATGAGTGAGATAAGACTCTCCATGGCTCATTCATTCAACATCCATTAAGAGCTGATCTCAGCTCTGAAACATTCTAACCCGGCCGAAGAACCATCAGGAAGTGAACCCCCTCCGCTGCTGTTGAAGTTTCTTCCTGTTGGATTCTCTCTTGTGATTTAATTATTCTCATCCAATCAGAGAAGATTTTCAGAGTGGAGCACCCAGATGGATTGAAGCCCTTCCGCCCAGATCTTTTCCTGGAAACAGCGGAGGAAAAGGAGCTGGAAGTGAGTGCCTGCCCCCTCTGTTCCTCTCTTTCTTCCGCTGTAACATAAAGGTGTGGTAGAGACTAGAAGTCTGAAGTAAAGCTATTACCAAGTCATGCTTGATCCAGAGGCTGTAAGGAAATAACTCATTCTTGGACGCTTCCGACAGATTCTGGTGGCTGTTGATATTTGTTGGCTCGTGGTCACACACTGCAAGCGCTGCCAGTTGGACACAGTTTCTTCACTGGTTTTATTCTCCCTGCAGCTTTTCCCCACCAGGACACAGATGAATGATCGCTTTGGGCCCACCCAGATATCCTAGCATAACTGCTCCATCTCAATGTTGATCAGTCCATCACTTAGCACAGCAAGGGAATCACCTAGCAGTGAGCACAGGCTGTGCTATGGTTCTGGTCCCCGTAGGGAAATTGCTCAGCAAAGTATACAGACCGAGATTGCATATCGTGCCACTTACAAGCCTGTTTGCAGCCATAATGAAGAGCAAACTTGATTTAAAACAAATGGTTTTCAGCTCTCTGCCAACATGGGTAGCAGATGAGATGAGATGAGTTGAGGGTTCCCCGGCTCTCCCTCCTGTGCCACATCTCCCTTTCCTCTGTCACTCTCCCACTGTACCTGCACATTGCAATCACGTGGAGAATTTTAAATATATATATGTTGCCATTTGCTTATGTAAAATTTGGGTGGTACTTGTACTAATGTATTACTCATTGTTTATCTGAAATTCACATTTAACTGGCTGTACTGTATCTTGATTGGCTAAAACAGGAAACCTTACTAAGGCCATTTCACAAGATAATTAAATCAGAATCTCTTGGGGGAGAGACCTGGATGTAATAAATTTCACATATACTGCCCCCCTGCAGGCAATTCTCCTGGCTGTGACAGAGAACTCCTGATAATTGAGCTGTTCCTGACACTTACACTCATTACCATGCCCTATTATTTTCTGACCTCTGCAACATAAACCTTGTACCCTCCTGAAAAGCACATTAATATTTCCCATCAATCCCACCTCATCCACACTGGTTGCACATTTTTCATCAGTATCACCCAAAGGATTGACTGGAGACTTAACCTCATTGTCCAGAGTTGGACATATTTCTAGAAGATTCCCTGCCTCATTAACCCCTCCCCCAATGGAGAGTAGGATCTGAGTTTATTGTGGCTGAGTTACCATCCCTGAACTAATTGGCCCTTCCTTCTTCCAGGTGTATCTACTTGTAAAAAACTGTTGGGAAGAAGATCCAGAAAAAAGACCAGATTTCAAGAAAATTGAGAACACATTGGCCAAGATATTTGGGTACTGCTGATATTTTTACTTTTTTTCATGAATTTTGAATTTTTTAATGATAGTTGACAGTGGCAGCAAAGAATGAAGATATCTTTTCTAAAGCAAAGTCCTAGGCTATAACCAATGCCTGTCACATCAAAATTTTCTTGGGGCTATAAGCACTTGGAAAGTTAAATACTCAAGGTCAAAACTTTTCTAGTTAAAACATGAATTCTGGCCAATCCTAAATTTTTCTGTTAAAAATATAGTTTTCCAATGCTTCTGTGGGTAATTAGGATTTAGACTTCCAACATGGGTCCTTAAGAATTATTTTAGAATAATTCTTAGGATCTTAAAATCACCAGCTTTAACCCTATATGCTTAAGATTTGAGTCATGAAGAAGAGTATAATTCAGGGTGAAAGGAAAAAAAAGCACACAATTATCCAGAAAGATTGAATTCTAGATGCCCCGTGTTTTCAGTTAATACACTGCAGATGAGAAAGAACACTAAATTAGTAGTTAGGAAACTCAATTTCCACCCTAGAATCTGGTAATAGTTTGCTCTGGGATGTGGGGCAAAGCACTCATGCTTGCAGGGTGTCAATTTTCTCATTAGTGAAATTGGATTGAACAAGATGGTTTCCATATTTCCTTCCAGCTTTTACATTCGTAGTTCTCATTAGGGCAAAAGGCTCAGCCGCTCAAAGAGGCTAAAAGCCTGGGGCTGGAGATGAGGTAGCGGAAAATTAATAAGAGAATGGTCATTGGTTAATAGAACTAAGTTGTGCAAATAAAACTATCAGTTATGCAAATAGAATAAGTATAAAGGATTTAATTCTCTCTTCTTTTTACTCCTTCAAAGACCTGGTAGTAAGGTCAGATAAGATTGTGCAATGCAGGTGAAATGTAAACTCATGAATCTCCAGCCTGAAACGAGGTGATTCTCAAACCTAGTGGCAGGGTAAATCACATGAGGAACTTGCAAAATGTAGAAGCTTAGGTTTCAACCTAAAAAGTCTGATGTACCTGGACTAGAGCGGAGGTGCAGCAGGAGCTTTAATAGCTACCCAAGTGATTAACATACCCAGTCCAGGCTGGGATGATTCTTAATTGAATCAGTGCACCATGCAGTAAAACAATCCACCTTCACCCCTTACACTTACCTACTCTACCCAGCTGGCTACCTAGTGGGGGTCAAGTACCAATCCCCTGGGAGCTTCTCAAATAAATTCTGTTTCTTAAGCTTAGCAATGTTCACTCATATAGCTCTTGGGTAGGACTCAGAAAGGTATTGGATTTTTAATAAACACCCCCCCCTCACCCTGGAGGTTTTGATGTAAACCGTCTCCTCCTGAGAGCAGTGGTAACAATTGTTAACGTAATTGTAATTGTTACTGTCATACTGAAGGGGGCCTGATTTATTCAGCACCTCCTCTTGCACCTTCATAGGTTAATAACATTATGTGGTGTGCTTGCACACTCTGTAAGAACTCACTGTATCTCCTCACAGTGCTCAGGCTTATCAGACGTTATAAAGTCGCATGAAGCCAGAATCTGTCTCCTCTGTGTCCTCTTGGTCTAAACAAATAATCCAAAACTGGATTTTTTGCCTTAGGACTCTGGCTCTCTGTTTGGAAGAGATAGTATGAGGCCCGGAGTTGCTTTTCTTTGTCTTTTACTTATGTTTCCATTTACACTTCTAGACTATTTTTGCAAAGTTTTTAAAATTGCAAATTGTGTATTATTAAAATTTTAGAAAATATGAATAAGCAACCAAGAAAGTAAAAAATACCTGTATTCAACTACATGATTGCCAGTTTTCAAGAAAATAAAAGTTAAGTTGGTTGTAGTGGTACACATCTTTAAATCCTGCTACTTGGGAAGCAGAGGTAGGAGGATCACAGATCTGAGGCCAGTCTCAGAAACTTAGTGAAAGGCTATTTCAAAATAAAAATTTGAAAAGGGCTGGAGATGTAGTTCATAATACAGTGTGTGCCTCACATTCCCGGGCCCCAAGTACCACAAAAGTGAATAAATAAATTAATTAAATTTTGGGATTATAACTTTTGATATTCTATCAACTTTTTCATTTAATATAACAGCATCTTTTTGTGTGTTTAACTATTCAACTTCATATTTTATAATCTATAAGATTCATTCTACATAATATTTAAAGTGTTTTTATTATACATTTAGGTTATTTTCAAATGTCTGTTCTTATAAGCAATGTTGTGGCTTTCTTTGTAGATCACTTTAAACACTTTCCTAGTTGCTTCTTTTGGATTTTGTTGTTGTTGTTGTTGAGATATAGTCTTGCTATATAGTTCGGGCTGGCCTTGAACTCATGGTGATCCTCCTGTCTCAGATTCCTGACTGCTAAGATTATAAGTGTGTGTCACCACACCTACCTTCTTTTGGGTAATTCTTAGAAGTTGAGTTGATGAGCAGATAGGTGATAAGCATTTTTAAAATATGTGACACAATTTTACCAAAACACTGTCTGGGAAGCTTCTACTGGGTATAGTTCCTCCTTCTACACCAATTATCATCATTCTAATGTTTGTTTTTCTTTGTTTTTAAATTTCATTTCTTTTTCCTTGCTTTCTCCTAAGGTTGAATTTTTTTATACTTAAGGATTTTTTAATTTCTTTGTTCAATTCCCTGCTCTGAGGACATAATGCCAGGTCATCTGTGTCCTCTATTCCACTGAGTGCTCATTTTTCTTCATAATGTGTATGAGTTCTTTATCTATAACCTTCTACAGCCTGTTTCATGACCAAAAGAATGAATCATACATGGATACTTTGATCCGACGTCTACAGCTCTATTCCCGAAACCTGGAACATCTGGTGGAGGAGAGGACACAGCTGTACAAGGCAGAGAGAGACAGAGCTGACAGACTTAACTTTATGTTGCTGCCAAGGTAAGGCTTCCCACAATTCCACAGCCAGGATTCGTGGCTTAAGGCCACTCAGATGTGCTGAAAACCCTTCAGCATATCTTCCTAGGATTGCTGTTGGGATTTGTTTTAGTTTTTGTCTATTTAGAACTATTTCCTTTTGAATATTCTTCACCAGTTATTGGATTTTAAATGCACATCCTTGCTAAACCTTGCTTTGCTTTTCTAGTTTCTGATTCTAGTGATTCCATAGTTGACCCATTCCCATGTGGTCCTAAGGGCAGGTGAAGCGTGTTGGCACCACACCTTTTTCTCAGTGGGAAGGCAGCTGGGTCCCCAGGGAAGTGGGAACTCATCCCTAAAGGATTCACTCTTAGCCTCCTCCTGACGTGCTGGTACTGCTCCTCGTAGCTCCTCAGCAAAGCCACTCTAAACTGCTTCTCTTTGGTGTCTGCACGTAAAAGTGCAGACTTTGACTTTTCCACATGGTGGAAGGAGCTGAATCCAGTTCAATATGTATCAGATATATTCCAGTTTAGAACACACCACAGTGACTTTAGATGCATTGCTCCTTCAGGGTGATATCAAACAATATCAGGTAGATATTCCAGAAATTAAAACTATCAACTTTGATGAGAAAGCCATATCTGAAAGCTCTGGTGAGTCCAATTCTTAAATTAATGACACATTCTCCTGAGTACAGAGCTATAGTTTAAGAATTTGATTATTAGAAAAGATGGCAGATAGATAAGAGCAGAATACAGAGGCTCCCTAGGACAGACAACTTAGATGGCAAAATAACACAGCATGGGGAGTCCCAAACAGAAGGAGATGGATCCTCTCAACCCAGGAAGAAACTAAAGCGAAAAGAACTAGTCAAACATGCAGTCCCAGGGCTACTATTGGGACAGCTAAGATTCTTTGCTTTCACGCATCAGAATTCCCACCACTTCAACTCACTGGAATCACAGTCCTACTGAAGTGCAGTCACACTGAAGTCAGAGGTTGGTGAGCCCAAAGGAGAACAGAGCCAGCAAGGGACCTGCATCAGCCTGCAGCGAGTGCCAGGATTCAATCACTTCCACAGGAAAGGGGCACCAATGGGACAACGTTTTCCAACATTTTGGAATCAGGCAGGACTGGCAGGAACAAGGAACAGCAGTGACTTCATTCAGTGGTTCCCTTCCCAGACAAGATTGGTGGGGTATGCTTGGCCTGGGTCATGCCCTTGGCTGAGACCCAATAAGCTGTCCCAAACCCAATTCCCTATGTGTGGTGCACACTAATGCAGTGAAGGCCTCAGCAGGTTGACTGACCTGGAGGGAAGGAGCCAGCATATACCACCCCTGTTTGCACCTCAATAACACACTGGAGTGGACAGGATTACCTAGCCAGCATGCTTCAGAAGAACCATAAGCAACAAGGAAAGGGACTGGGACCTCCTCTATACACCTGTATGGAAGAAACAAAAAATATGAGAAGAGGCAGTGACAAGAAAAAGTCCCCAGCCCCCAACCCTGAGAACATGGATCCAGGAGAGGTAAATACAAAACAGATTGAGGACAGCAAACATGCAATATCAGACACAGCATCAGTGGACATAAAGAGATACCTTCGGGACCTTATAGATGAGTTCAAAAGTGAAAAATTTAACCAAATAAAGCAAGACATAAATAATTAATAAAAGAAATGCTAAGCACCTCTCAAGAAGACACAGATGGAAGAATGGAGGAGCACAAAAAAAGGAGAGAAACATTTGCTGAAAAATATAAAGAAAACATAGAACACATGAAGCAGGTTCAAAGAGATTACCAGGAAATTAAAAACTCCATTGAAAGCTGGAAAACTGCTTGAAAGAAACTAAAGATAGATTGTCCAAACTGGAAGACAGGTTTGCAATGTGTGATCATAAAAGGAAAAATGTCTTAAAAATAACAAGGAACAGGCAGTAACAATACAAAGGCTAGAAGATGACAAGAGGATCTATAACTTAAGAATAAAGAATGTGAATGAAGAAACAGGGGTACAAATAAAGGAACTACAAAGGCTATTCACAGAAATAATTAAGGAAAACGTCCCAGCATAGGAAAAGGAAATGATATTCAGATGTTCGAGGCATACAGAACTCCAGCCACCTACAACCAAAACAGAGCTACACCCAGGCATATAATAATCAAGATCCCAGAAATTCAATATAAGAACAGAATATTAAAAGCCTTGAGAGAAAAGAAACAGATCACCTATAAAGGAAAACCCATCAAAATCATGGCAGACTTCTTGACCCAGACCATCAAATCAAGAACAGCTGGAAGTAAAGTATTCCAAGATGAAAACAACCTCCAGCCCAGATTGATGTACCCTAAAAAACTGTCTCTAGAAATTAATGGAGAAACAAGATGCTTCCAAGACAAAGAGGAACTGGGGGAATTTGCGACCACCAATCCAACTCTACAGAGAATACTGAAGGACATTCTAGAGAGAGAGAAAAGTACCAGGATTCCAGGAACAGTGGCAGAGAGGCCTCAATGAATGGAGCAGAAAGTGGAATGAAGAAGAAAAGCAGACAACTAATGGCAGAAAAAGAGCATAACAGAAATGAGGTAGGGAAGTTAGGCAATAATCCCTGTTATAGATGGCCTTCACACATTAAAAAAGAGAGAGCGAGAAACACAGGCAGAGTAGATCAGGAGGTAGGGTCCACTGAGATGCTCTTTATAGGAAATATAATTAACCTGAAAAAGGGTTTATGGACTGAAAATCAAATATGAGAAAACAATGCTCTATGTGATAAAGAACCAGAGAGTAATAGGACAACTCGACCAGTATTTGTAGGTAGGTTGGAAAGACAGGCTTTAATAGGTAAAGGAATGCAACTAGAGATGAAGTCCAGGAGGGAGAAGGTTCAGAACCACTAAGGTAAATAGCAGTTTGTCCCCCCAGCCTAAAAACTGAGGGTGTTGGTGAGACCCAAAAATGCACAGTGCACCCTGGGGGAGTGAAAGGGGAGGAATAGTCTTTAAAAAGATGGCAGAGGATATTGTTAATAGTGCATCAGGATTTAAAACCCACATTACTCGCACCACTCTGCTTAGATAGATTTTATTCTGTCCCAGTTTGTCTACTTGCACTAGAGCTGAGGGCACAGATAGCTACCCCTAAAATAACAGAATATAGTACAGTAATCATCTTTAATTTCCTATTAACTTAATCTGGAGCCTTGTATAACTTGTACTGTTTTGAGGGCACAGATAGCTCTACCAAAAATAACAGGATATATGTAATGTTTACAATGTTTAAGTTTTATTGGTCTTGTTCTCTACTGTTTTGTTCAACTTTATAATACCTAATGAGATAGACAATTCTTTTTAAGGAAGCAAGAGGCATTATGGTAACCATTGTTGATAACCTTGTACTCTGTTTTTACATCATGTACTATGTCTATCCTTGGTTTTGACTATTTGACTTAATTCTCTTTCAAAAAAAAAAGTAATAAGAACTAAGGAGTAATAAAACCCAAAATGTGTAAATTTTGTTGAAAAAAGACAGGGAGAAAAAGAGCTCTAAAGGGTACAACAGCAAGTGTGTTTAGGGGTGTTAAATAGCTGACCATATTAATGTTTTTGGTTGGATCATTGAACACAACTGTTTGCAGTCTCACTGTTTGAATGTCCGCTTTGTATGCTTTGATACTGTGACTTGAGCAACTATCTCTAAGATGATAATTTGTAATCTATTAACTGGTGATTTCTTACTGGTTTTTTTTTTTTTTTGTAGTTCTGTATTACTTATACCCTTACACCGCTTTGTTTTGTTTTGTTTTGTTTTGTTTTTTCTCTTTTTCTTTTTAAATAAAATTTTAAAAAAATAACAGGATATAGTACAGTAATCATCTTTAATTTCCATTAACTTAATCTGGAGCCCTGTATAACTTATACTGTTTTATCATGACTGATCTTAGTTAAATCTGGTTTGTTTGATTGCTGTTTGTTATCAACAGATTTTATTCAAAACTGTTATGATTGATAGTATCAAGTCTGAAAGTATAGGCAACTACACTGAAGATGACAAGATTCACTAGGATACCCATTCTGGTTTGATTATTACCTGTTTTTGAAGTTTTGCACTATGTACAAAGTTTTGTTTTTATTAATATTGTTATGTACTGCTATATTTAGTTATACTATGTCTGATGATATAGATAATTCTATTGAAGATAACAAGAGACAACACAGTAACCATTGTAGAACTTCTTGTACAGTGGTTTTGGATCTCTTTTTCATTTCATGTGTCTATAGGAATATGTTTTGTTTTATCTTGCTTTGTTTTGTTTCTCCCTCTAATATAGAAAGGATAGAAATACATATTATGACTCATGCATGTGTAGAACCTATAAACAGTTTATGAGAATTGATCTTATAATGCATGATGAAATTAACAAATACTTTGAAGAAAAAGAGACACTACGTACCCAGTGCTGATCCCATAGTGTCATGATGTGAAATCCAGCAATACTATTTTCTTTGTTCAAAGTGATTTTAGCCTGCTATGGTTTGTTTAACCACAACATAAATGAAGATATGTATGCTTAAGTGTATAGGATTGATAGCCATATTTCTAAGATTTTGTTGGATAGTTGAACAGAACTGTTTGCAGTCTCGCTGTTTGAATCCCCACTTTGTATGTTTCACTTTTGTATCTTGAACAACTATTTATATGAGGACAATATGTAATCATCAGCTAGTGATTTCTTACTGTTTATTTTTTCTTTGAAAGTATGTATTATTTCTACCCTTTTTCTATTTTGTTTAGTCTTCCTTTAAATAAAATGTTTTAAAAAAGAATTTGATTATCAGTAGCAAGGTCAAAAATGGGCAAGCATGTCTATGTATTACAGTTATGTGTTACAGTTATGTATGTGCATTAGAGTTAATAATCAAATACTAAGTTAATGTTGGACCTGCTTGTATTCATCCAACATATAATTCATCATACATGTATTATATGCATATGAATGTATAGCATTTTATATCCATATTTATTTCATAGAGACTCACTAGCATTCACTGGAAATTTTGAATTATTGAATTCATGTCAGGTATGGTGGTACACACCTGGAATTCCAGTCACTTGTGTGGTTGAGGCAGGACAATTGCAAGTTCTGGCCAGTCTAGGCAACTTACCTCAAAGTAAAAATTCTTGAATATCTGGTGGAAAGTTATTACTCTCTGAAACGTTTATGTTAAACAAGAGTAACTGACTGAAATTGAAGTCATTCTTTTTCTCTTCCTTTCTCATTTAGGCCAGTGGTACAGTCTCTGAAGGAAAAAGGCATCGTAGAGCCAGAATTATATGAGGAAGTGACAGTTTACTTCAGTGACATTGTAGGGTTCACTACAATCTGCAAATACAGCACCCCCATGGAAGTGGTGGACATGCTTAATGACCTCTATAAGAGTTTTGACCAGATTGTTGATCACCATGATGTCTACAAGGTAATTGTGTCACCAGGCCTCCAAACTCAAACAGCTGTCCAGTCCAAGGTCATCAGAGCAACCAGGTTGCTGGTTTCTCCTATTCCTCTTGTCCTAATTTAACACTTAATGAATCATAATTGACTTTTACCTAAAATGGAAAGAGAAGTAGAAGAACTTGATGAGTCAAATGTCATGATAACCACTTAACTTTAAGAACCAGCACAAAGGAGAAATTTCAGTAGTAGTGAATCGGGCACTAAATTTTGAGAAAGAGTCATACTCTCCAATCGCTTCTCAACATGGACAGTATTTAGGCTAATTCCTAAAGCAGCAGTGAATGCACTAGCATCATAATAAATAGAATCTATCTTTTGTCTTAGATGAACCTATGGGGTTTTTTTGTCAAATATAGAAAATAATAAAGCTAACTAAAAATTACCTTCCTAGTAATTGTGAGTCTTCCTAAAATTATATAAAAGTAGCCAGATTACACATTTATATAATTATCATCATGTGTGTAATTTATATTATTTTGAAATGCTTTATAGCTATTTTATCATCCAGTTAGCTAGACTAAAAACTCTGAAGAAACCAGCATAGAACTAAGCTTGAACTGGCCCCAGAAAAATGTATAAACTATGTTCATTCTAAGTTTCCGAAAGATCTTTTGTGTTTGATATGTGATATTTATTAAGTGCTTCTGTGCAGTTTCTGTGCCTTCTGAAGGATCAAAGATACTGATGAGAAAGTATTTCTACAGGTGGAAACCATTGGTGACGCCTACGTGGTAGCTAGTGGTTTGCCTACGAGAAATGGCAATCGACATGCGATAGACATTTCCAAGATGGCTTTGGATATCCTCAGCTTCATAGGCACCTTTGAATTGGAGCATCTTCCTGGTCTCCCAGTGTGGATTCGCATTGGAGTTCACTCGGGTATGGAGAGATGAATCTTATCAAATGGAACCATGTGTGCCTCTTGCATCCACTAAGTCAGAAAAGATAGAGGGACTTCCAAGGTTGTTGACTTTCCCATGAGGTTTACTCTTTAATTCTGTGCACCTGATGCAGGGCACCGTTACGTATCCTGACACAGTTAGACATGGTTCCTAAGGCACACTAGGAACACACCTTTGACTGTGCTTTCCACTTCTGGATGGATGAACACCAACCACACATGAAAACAAGAAGCCCACTGCTCCCCATTACAGTCATCATGCTGCTATTCCACCATGTCCCCCAAGTCCTTCCCTCTCTCTCCCAACATTTGTGTAATTTTCATTAAAATATTATAGAACAGTGGGCTAGATTACCCATGGGAAAAATAACCAGGCAAATTGCTATAATACTTATACTTGCTGCCCTACAGTGGTATAGAAGAGGTCACCCCAAAGACACTTAAAGACAGTTAAAGAATCACTTTATACAAATTAAACTTACAGAATTTAACCGAGCAAGGAATAACTCACAAACCATGGCGCTAAGAACCAGAGGAGGCTCAGAGGGCTCCTGTTGGTAGTGTAGGCAGGCAGCGTCTATAGAAGGAAAACAAAAATGAAGTAAAAAAGGCACTAGATAGGTTGCTGTGCTTGTTAGCCATATGTGGGTGTGGTACTAGCAGTTGGTAGCTTGCAACTGACTGAAGTTTAACTTCTGTGATTGCCTGAGATTCATCCATTTGTTACAGTAGTATTGTCCTAAATTGGACTTTCAGCTGGCTTCGGTACCAAGCTGGGTTGCAGTTCATTAACATAGAGTTTCAAGGTAGGAGGCTGCCGCACCGAATTTAGTTTAACAGCATTGAACCTAGAGATTGATGAGTCACAGGTGTCGTAGAAACCGTAGTTGGAAAGGAATTCAAAAGACATCTTCACTGATTCTTCATAAGCCAATTTTTTTATAGATTCTAGGATAAGTAACAATAATTTACTTCTAAAATAACCCCAGGACCCCTGAAAACTCTCCATTAAAATATCATAATTGCTAGGCAGTTTTTTCTTGTGTTAAATCACATCTCTCAATCAGGCATAGTGGAAAACACATGTAACCCCAGCACTCTAGGAGACTGAACCAGGAAGTTTGTAAGTTCAAGCCCAGCCTGCTAACTTAAGAGACTTAGTGAGAGCCTCTCTCAAAATTAAAACTGAAAAAGGACGGAGGAAGGCTGCGGATGTCACTCTGTGTAAAGGCCCTGAGTTCAATCCCCAGTACCAAAAAGAAAACATGCAAAAAAAAAAAAAAGTCAGGAGTCAGTTTTCTCTATAATTTATTGCTCTAAGACCCCTAAGTACAGAAAACCCAAAAGATCCTCCAGGTTTGTGGCGAAGACTAGACAATTACATTTTCTAAAGTCAGCCTATGTCTATAGTTTCCAGCCCAGAGCCTGACAGTAACTGTTTGTTGATTGAGTAATGAATTGATGAAGTTCTCAAAGTGATAGTAAATAGAAGTTAAAAACTACTGCTTATATCTTTGAAAGCCAGGAACCTAATTGTGGCCTTCCCCAGTCATGTCCCTTGCCAAATGTCATAGGTGTTTCCATAACCATGTAACTTCCTGGCATCTGCCAGTGAGCAACACATTATCTTTTTTCTGATTTATCCCAAGTTGTCAGGCCTGGAGAAAGGGTTAGCAGCAGTACTGACTGAACCAAGACAGGGAACTTGGAGCCCCGGGGCTCTGCATGGTCTCCTTTCCCTGTGACCTGCTCAGTGTCGGAGCTGAGCCAGGGCACACCAGGCGGGCATGCAAGTAGCTATGAGGTACATGTACTGGAGAGGAGGGCTTGTTTAAAAATGCAATTTCAAGGTATTGATGGCTGAGTACAAAAAATAGTGTCTGCGGGGATTTTTATGCACCATCACTTCCCACCCTGTCCACTCTGATTCTGAAGGAGTCACTGATACACAGACCCATCACTGCTAACACACCTGCCGTGGTGAGGGAGCTCAGAGCTCTGAGCAAGAGGCCGCCTGTACAGTGTCTTTGTTTCTCTAGGTTTCCTTGGGTTCATTTGTTTGTCTGCTTCTGTTTTGTATCCTGACAGTGAAGAGTTCAGAACTCAGGGGAAGACCTAATATTTTAATTTTTAATGTTAATAAACAAAGTAGTGGTAAAATGAATCTATAAAGTAAGTCATGCACATCAAAGACAATGAAGCCAACTAGAAAATTAATAATTACCACTTCCCGGAAGTCCAGTTTTGCAGTTTGTGAACTAACCTTCAACTTCTGAAATCTTTAACTCCTTGAATTCAGTCATCCCACTCACGTGCCCAAATGAGCCACCCTTCCTTCCTGGCTAATATGCAAGAGTGCATCATCTTGTTTCAGCGTTGGTTGTGCTTGTTAGAATGCGCCACAAGCTTCTTCCAACCAGCATCACTTACCTGGCCCACGAAGTGCTTAACGAAGATTATTGCAAGTCCGTATCTCGTGGGTCTCCCATCATCATCATACACAAACCTCACAAATACCACCTTAAAATAAAGGTGAATCAAACTTGGGCCATTGAATCTTCAAATCTGTGGAGCACTCCAGCAGTCCAGAGTCAGGGTTACATGATTTGTCATACATAATAAGCAAGCAGTGAAATCACTTTGAACCTTCCTGAGAGCCTTCAATTCAGCATAGTCCATTTTAGTTATCTGGGTGATTCTTGTTCAATGCCAGTGTAGCTTTTCTTTACTGGGGCAAAATGCTTTATGAAGGCAGACTTTGAGGAATGATGCTTCTCTGATCGGTTGCGTCCATTTAAAGCAAATGTCATGGCTCACATTTCATGTGCTCCAGCGTTTCTCCATGACTTGAAGTTTACATCATAGTGACCGTGAGACGAGGTTTATGTACCTAGCTTTCCGCCCTTTATTGCAGGTCCCTGTGCTGCTGGAGTTGTGGGAATCAAGATGCCCCGTTATTGTCTGTTTGGAGATACTGTCAACACGGCCTCTAGGATGGAATCCACGGGCCTCCGTAAGAATCATTATTGTTCTTAGAGACCATGGTTCTGTCTTTCAGCAGAGGCCAACCACAGAATTAAATGCGCAGTTAAGGAGAGGTGTAATACCCGTGAGATGTAGAAGATCCCTCAGATGAGCTGAGGATAAGCCTGCGTCAATCTAGCCCTCACTCCTTTGCTTTTGTGGTTGTTATTTACTGGTAACTATTTTTATTCTTCCTTTTTTGTTCAGTTGTAAAACCTATATTTTTGTTTGATCTGCAGTGAATTCAGGCATGCTTTACCAGGAATAGTCTTCAAATTTAGCATGTGTAAGTTTAAAAAAAATTCTAGTGGGCTACACATAGACAATATGCCCTGGCCCCAGTGACTATTTCCCTTTCATTTCTTTTTCTTAGGAATTCATTTTATTAAAGAAAAAATTCTAGGTAGTGAACATATACAAAAGCATAGAATGCATTTGTCTAGTGAGGTAGAGGTATAGTGTGCTGCCTATGGTAGATGTTTGATAAGCATTGATGATACTGATAGTTATAGAAATATATAATTGGGGAAAAATATTGGAAGAGGAGGTGAGATTGGACAAAAACACAGGAGGCAGAATGATATTTTGGTATTCAGCTCACAATCTAATGTTAGTATGTACTGGAAATCATGGTGCAAAGAAAAGGGTAAGATTGGCGTCAGACAGGCTTTAAAAATCACACTGTCTGCATAAATTGAGGGGAAAGTTTCCTGATCTTTTAAACCTCAAAAAGATGAAGGTATAGATTAGAAAGGAGATAACAACTTTGCTGGGAGGGTTCCTAGAAGGAAACGGGGTGCTAAGTTGAGCACTGAGCCATTTTCTGGCACGAAGCAGATGTAAACTTTGGGGTGGCCATTGCTCCCAGTTACTACTGTTATTATTTGTTATATGGCTTTTGGGCTTCGTGGTGAGAAAGGTAAAGGACAGCACAGACCCACGAAAGAGAATGCCCTCACCACTTATATTTTAGAAGGATTACAGCATTCTAGAAGAGGAAAACTTGAGAAAAATCAAGATCCTGGAGTGAAGTTCCAGCTATTTACAGGGACTTAGCCCTGACATGTGAGCTATTTACAAGAACTTTATGTGGGAACCTGGAGCCAGTTCCAGCTCCCAGACTTGACACTACAAGCCCAATCCAATATTGAAGCCCAGAGGCTACCTCTGAAAACAGAAATAAGAATCAGTGAACAAAATCTGAGGCGAGTCATCACTCTAGACCCTGAAAAACAGTGCCAGAACTAGAACCTCTTCCTTCCCATAACAGGCCAGACCAGCTAATACTTCTGGTCTTGCAGATGTTAGGTTTAAAAGGTCCATCACTAAAAAAAACCATACTTGATTAGGGTACTTGATTAGGGTACTTGCTTCAGATGTTGCTGATGAATTGACTCAAGGGGAAACAAATATAGCATATTGTAGCTCTCAAGAGATGAGGTTTTCATTTCTCTGTTTGGCATCTGCAGCCTTGAGGATCCACATGAGCAGCTCCACAATAGCCATCCTGAAGCGAGTTCAGTGCCAGTTCCTGTACGAGATGAGAGGAGAAACGTATCTGAAGGTAAGCAATTCACAGAAGCAATGCACAGAGAAAGCTCTAAGACACACCTGCGCCTCTCCTGGGAGACTTGACCAGGAAACTTGAGAAGCACGAAGTGGAAGAGTTTTTTTTTCATTTTTCCCACCACTCTAGTAGGAAAAACCTCCACCAAAGCATGTGAACCCGGAACTTTCTTTTACTGCAAAAAGAAAAACCCCTTTAGATGTTTTCACTATGAGCACTATACTGTAAAATGCTGCCACCATTTCCTCCCCAGAGATTGCACGTTTGTCTCCAGTTCCTTCCAAACCCAGATCTCAGTCTGGTTCAAGACTTATTCAAGTCAAAACCACAGTTTCCTTACTTCTCTCCTCTCCTTGCAAGATGCTGCTGTCTGAAACTTCTCCTGCCCATTGCTTTTATTAATCTGAAGTTCTGGTCTAGTGAATTACAAAGTACAAAGTACAAAATAGGTGGCATACTTGTGACTTGGCCTTATCGTGTGCTTGTTAAAATGCAGGTGTCTGCTCTTCTGAGACTCCATGTGAATGCAGATTAGGAATCTCGATTTTTAGCAAGTATTCTAAGTGCTTGTAATCAGATCAAAGATGAGAATCACTGTTTTAGGTTCCCTGTGCTATTTCTTGTAATTAAAAAGAGTTGTCTAGCTGAACATGGTGGTGCATGCCTGTGATCCCAGTAACTCGGCGGCTGAGGCAGAACGATTGCCATAAGTTCAAGGCCAGCCTACTCTACATGACAAGACCATGCCTAAATAAAAATAAATAAATGAATACATACATATATAAATATAACACAACAGCATTTTAAAGCTGCCAATCACCTCCAGTTGGCTATCTTAGAAAGCTATCATAGTCTTTTCACAGTTGATCTGAAGCCAGCTATATAAGATTCTCTGTTTCCAATAGCCATAATGCTCTGACCTTTATACTCTGGTTGCAAGTTGGGAAAGCTTCTTTTTCTGTAAGTGTCCCAGCATTACACTTTTCAAGCCTTCCTGAAATATATTTTCTACACAAGAGAATTTCCCCCTAAACAGAATTACGTTCTAGACTATTGCAAGCCAAACACAGCCAGGAAACCACTATTTTTTAAATCTCCTTTTCCAATATAAACTTTAGCAAAAACAGAGCTTCCAGTACCTTTATGTTCATTTCATAGCCTCAAAATGAGGCAGACTGTTATTAGACAGTTGATCTCGATCTCACCCAATATCCAAGACCTTTGTATTGAGCAAAGCATTGAGCAGAACACACAAACAAAAGCCAGAGATTTATTAAAGCAAAGTGCTACAGCAAGCAGAAACACTGAGATGACACCCAAGATCTGGAGACATTTTTTTTACATTGATGTAATCATTCCCAAAATATCAAGCCCTGATCTCCAGTGGGCTAGGGCTTTTACGAAATAAGCAAGCAGAAAGTACAGAGGCAGAGTACTTGGCTGTCCTTGATTGGTTCTGACAATATGCATCACAGTAATCAGCCATTTCTAGGAGACAGAAGCAACCGGAACTGGAACAGGAACCAGTATCTGGGCAACTAAAGTATCTTGAGTGGGGTGGGTCAGCATTTTCTGCTACAAAAGTACAGTCCACAGAATGGATTGGGTCTGTCAGAAAAATCAAGAGCAAGTTTGGCTCAGAGTGGCCCTGAATACTTTAGGTTTGAGATTCAAGTATAGTAGGCAGAGTTCCAAGCAGGCAGAGCTCAGAGGTGGCAATTATCAGTAGTAAAGGTGCAACCTTAAAACAAGGTCAGCAGAGCAACTGAGATGAGTTTCAGGGTTTGCTTCTTTTTATTTTTATTCTCATATTTGGGGTAGTGGCCAGGAGTGGTGTTTAGTTACTTGTCTTGTTCCTAAGACAAAATATCCAACAGCCAAAGTTAGGGGAGAGAAGGTTTATTTAGCTCACAGTTTGTAGAGGTTCAGTCCATCACTGGCTAGCTCTAAGGCAAGGTGGGACATGCCAGAGGGGCAGCAGTTCATGGCAGCAGAAGACAGCAAAAGCAACAAAGGAGAGGAAGAGCAAGCCTCTTTCTGTCCCTTACATTGTATGCAGACTACCCACCCCCTGGGAAAGCGTAGCCCTCACACCCGTAACCCTAGCATTGGACCACAAATAAATCACAAATTTAGATTCAGTCACTTCTAAAAATCCTGCCCCACCATGTCTTCATGAGGCTTTGGGGTGATATCTAGACACAAACCATAACAGGTGGTAACTAACTGGATTGTGTCCAATTAATCAAGCATCTCTACCTCACATTGGGGAGTTTGTGAATTTGCACAGGGCTAGATAGAACCAGCATGGCTACCAAAGCCCAAAGGAAAGGAAAGCCTTCAAAAGATATCATAATGACCATGGGGTTACTCTCACTATGAAATTAGACCTCATGACCCTCAGGCTCATGCCAGAGATCAAGGATGTTTGATAAGGATGGAAGCGTATGTTTGATTCACCTCAGAATATTAAGGAAATATAGTGAGGGTAGAACCATATTTTTCAAGCTCATGTCAAGATGTTAAGGAAATAAAGTGATAGCAGGATGCCTTTGGGATCTCCAGGAGCCAGAAGATATTCTACGTGTTGTGAGCCTGAGGCCAGGATATCTCTCATACTGTCATCTCCTGCCTTAAAACTATGGTTATTTAAGGAATGCTTATTACAATACATTCCTTATATTACATTATATATTATAATCTATACACTTAAGGCACCACAACTGTGGCAAAAGTTTTGTGACAAAACTCTGTTTCAAAGGGGGCTAAAAGAAAATGTAGGCCATGGAAACTGTAAAGACTTTTTTTTTTGTCTTTTTCCTTTTTATCGGTACCGGGGATTGAACTCACGACTGCCTGCTTGCAAGGCAGGTGCTTATGCCGCTGAGCTAAATCTCCAGCCCCTGTAAAGACTTTTTGGAGTTACAGAATTACAGATGAGTATCCTTCCTTTTAAAGTTAGACTTCTTAAAACATTGCTGTGGTTATATTTTGAAACATCTTTTGGGGAAAAGGAAATCTCTACTTTTATAAAAGCCTACCCAGTAAACAAAAGGCTTATTTTTAAAAAAGTTTTTCTAGCGATAATGCAAGTCATAAAAGCATACGTGCTGTGCTTAAATATGGGAACTGACGAGAAATGTGGAGGTGAAATATCTCTGGTTACACGCTGCTGTAGAAACAGCTGGGTAGAGGGACATCATACATGTGACCCACGTCTTTTGTCTCCAGGGGAAAGGGACAGAGACCACCTACTGGCTGACCGGAATGAAGGACCAAGAGTACAACCTGCCCACCCCACCGACTGTGTAAGCATCTGGATGGGGCCGGAGGGAGAGTGGAGTTGGCGGGCTAGTGGATAAGCTACGGGACCCTCCGCCGTGTACTCTGCCAAGAGCCTCGTAAGTGGCGATGGCATGTTGAATATGAGACAAGGCACTACACACCTGAGAGGTTTAGAACCCTCCTTTTACCTACTGCTACAAGTGAGTGTCTTGAAAGGCTGCAGTACCCTGAGACCTCAGTGACACAGAAAAATTCCAGAGCTTTGGCTGCTTGATCTAGAATTGAGACTTTCTCCATAGATCACAAGTGTATTCCCAGTAATGTGCCCACCTTTTACTCTGGAGTCTTTCGCCAGCAGCTATTCCAGGGAACTTTCTCCTGGAACACGGAAGAAGGAAAATACCATCTTGAACCAAAAATAAGATGTTATTTTAATTTCATTTATTTTGTTTTGTTTACTGGTTCTTTTCCTTTCTGTACACGTCCGAGAACTTTTTCAGTTGTCCAGTCATACTTTAAATACCTCACCTCCATAAATATGCTAAACTCAATTTTTTTTTTGCAGAAAATGCACTATATTTTAGGCAAGGATAAAAGTTATAAGTCGAGCCACCTCTTCTGCTCATTTTCCCAGAATGCACCAGCCATGTGTTTGCTGTAAGAACTAAGTGCTCCCACCATGAAGTACAGCCAAATCAGTGTTGTCTCCAGGCCTCCTCAGAGGAGCAGAAGGCAGTGTAGGGCTCACACGATGCATGCTGGAGGCAACTCTGCATTTTCACTGCAGTCCATATTTTTCTGTTGAGCCACCTGATGAAAACAGAACCTCCCTCTTGCCTTAAGGCCATGGCTCTGGATCTTATCATGGAATCTGTGTTGTCCCTAAGATGAGGAAGATGAAGCTTCAGGTCTCATTAACAGGTTTCACTTCTCTCCGCGTAACTCCAATTCCATGTTGGTAGATGTGGTAATCAGACTTGTGCCTCTTGCCGTGGTTTTTGCCAAAGCAGAGAAACCCTATCTTGTAGAGGGCTAGATATCAAACCTGAGAGGTGACAAGCTGTTAGACATGGCAAGAGAATCTAGGTCTTTCCTAGAGCAAGGAAACCTGGCTCTTTCCAGGAATGCCCTGCGACAGTTGAGGCTCTTGAAACTCTCCACCATCCTGAGCTCTTGCCCCAAAATATTTTCACTCCTATGTATGTGTGAGAACAGTGAGTGTGCAGAGTTGTGTGGCAGGGGCCAGGCATCCTCTGGCTTCTCTTTGCTTCTTCCATGGCGTAGATGGAGATCCTCCAGACTGTATCACTAAGCTGTTGTACTTTAAGTCTAAAATCCTGCCTGCGATATATCCTGCTTAGTCTACAACCACACATTGCAGGGATCACAGTTCTTTGAGCCTGTCAAAGGAAAGATCATTTTGTGTTCCTTGGACTTCCTCACACAGATTATACATCAAATGAGTACCTGGGGAACTGAACTGATGATTCTGGAGCTAAAAGCTATTCTGTGTGAATTGCTGAAAAATTCCATTTTTCTTCCCCCACCTCCTTTCCAGGGAAAATCAACAGCGTTTGCAAGCGGAATTTTCAGACATGATTACCAACTCCTTGCAGAAAAGACAGGCTACCGGCATAAAAAGCCGTAAACCAGCACGGGTTGCCAGCTATAAGAAAGGCACGCTGGAATACTTACAGCTGAATACAACAGACCAGGACAGCACTTATTTTTAGACCTACCAGAGATGGGAGGACTTCTGCACATTAAATCCCTGCACTGAGGTAGTAACCTCAAGCGTCCCGTGACCTCAGTGACACAGAAAAATAACCTCGGCTACCTTGTCTTGAACACAGACTTCCTTCTGTGAATCACATGTGTTTTTTCAGTGAAATAACTCTTTTCTGGAATCTTACCCCAACCATCATTTCAAGAAGCTTCCACCTGGAAAAGAGGAGGAGGAAGATACTATCTAGAACTTGCAATTTTGTTCTTATTTCATTCGTTTTTGTTTTACTGACTGCTCCTTTCATTCTGTGAACATTAGAGGATGTTTTAAATTGTCCCAACTGTATGTTAAATACTTTGTGTCTATGAAAGTGTACTTAGCTCATACATTTTGTAGAATATATGCTGTAAGTTAAAAATAAAAGTTAAAAGTTTTCTGAACTTGGGGACGTTTTCTCCTCTCCTGCCCATTTGTCTGGAATTCACCAAACACCATTTTATGTTTGCTGAAAAACTGACCGATTCCCCTCCCCCCACCAAGCATGGCAAAGTTGGCATCATTGCTCTGGAGGTTGGAACTGGAAGGTCACAATTGCTTGTCTACTTAGCAGCGTGGAAGAAGCATTACACATAATGGGAGTCACCTGAGAATGAGACCAAGCCAATTATTCAATTCCTACACTGCTCTTTTCTACCTGTAATCAATGTCTGCCTCGAAGCATCTGATATTTCTGCGATGTAGCCTTTTCGTAATGTGACAGATCACTCTGTGTATGTGTGTATGCGCGTGTGTGTGTAAAAGTTCTCAGGTATATAAAGCAGATCAAGTGTTTAATAACTGGAATTCTAGGAGGAAAAAGCATAGATTATAAAAAGAAGGAATAGACAAATAATGGAGGGAAATGTTTTGAATTTTAAAAAGTACATCACCAGGGCTAGGGGTTTAGCTCAGCGGCATAAGCACCTGCCTTGCAAGCAGGCGGTCATGAGTTCGATCCCCGGTACCGATAAAAATGAAAAAGACAAAAAGAAAAAAAAAAAAAGTACATCACCTAAAGATGAATTTAAAAATAAAACAGACCACACATAGAGACATATGGTGAAAGGAATAAGAATTAGATTGATGTTAGATGTTTCACTAACAAAACTGCCTATAGAAACAGAACTGATCAATAACTTCGTAATTCTGAAGTTCTATGCTTATAAACTAAGAATTCTCTTCTCTCATGGAAGAAGAGCTCCTCAGGAAGTTAATCACCCATGAACTCTATCTGAAAGGCTTACAGAATAAATCCTCTGCAGAAGCAAAAAATACATGCAAGAGGAAGACATGCAGTATTAGAATCAGTTTGTATACATTTGGTTGTATACTCTTAAAAAACACCAGGTCTGATTTGAACCGTGAATCACATTTTAAACTGAAAAAAAGCAGTTTTGTCCTATTATTTCTTGCAGTACTTTGTAGCAATGAAAATGACAAATTGTAGAAAACTCCATCAAAAATCATTTTTCTAAGAAGTCCTGGTTCTTTTGAAGAACGATATTTAGAAGCCACGAGTTGGTCGTAGTTGTGTTCGTTACTATTTGGCATGTCACAACCTCTAGATTCTCTCAATACATTATCTTTGGTTTGCTAAAAAAATAAGCCATTATCTCTTTTCTGTGCCAAAGTAGACTCTGCACATGCTTATATATAAACAAACACTGTACATTGCAGCCCCAGTTAAATAATTTAAATAATTGCAGTTTGGCACCATGTAGATTATTCCAATATCAGATCATTTGATGTTTTAACCCAGGGCAGATAGAGTTCATGGCAAAGAAATTAATGACACATCCTGCCTCATATGCGTTCTAGTATTTGGACAGAGGTAAGGCTTACAATTCACATTGTTACAAAAAAAAAAGTTTCACTTTCAGTTCTGCGTGTTTTGTGCCCAAATTGTGTTTTGCAGCACATAAAAGCACAGATGTTCTGTAAGAGTGGGAGTTGCACAAGAGTATTCTGTAGCTTCTACAAAGACACTAGACTACCTGGGTCTGGAACAAGAGCAGAGTAATAGGACAGAGTCACCCTCCCCACTCGTGATGAGGAGTTTTCTTTCCTTCTTCTTTTTCTCCTCCTCTTCCTCTTCCTTTATTTCAAATTTATCTCTATATAATACTTTTGTAAACCATAAAACCACGCCCAATGATGTTGAAACAATGACAAACTTCTGTAAAAGTTTCCAAATGTTCCATCTCACAAAGCCAGCACAATCCAGAAACGATATCTAGTTATGACAATAAACAGTTCCCGCAAAACACCACTGCTAAGCACCTATGCCAGTAAGGGTGGTATGCAAGAAACTGTACCACGATTGCCCTGGAAAAACCAGATGCCTTGGCCATATGCATGCCAAAACCCCCACACCCCCCAAAATGGTCACTTCACAAAGCTCCAAAGTTGCCAAGAAAATTTGCCTGGCAGAAGATAGATCATATACAGTGTCAGTGCCCAATCTTTTGACACCAGGAACCAATTTTGTGGAAAAAGAGTTTATCCATGAACAAGAGGATGGAGAATGGTTTCAGGATGATGCTAGCATATTACATTTATTGTGTACTTTATTTTTATTTTTATTACATTAGATTCTCATGAGACAATATCCCTAGAATGTGAAGTTGATACTAGGGTTCTTGCTCCTATAATTTGGGGCTCCTTAATGTACAGAATCCTAGCTGCAAAGGAGTCCGAAAAATTGTATTATTGCTTTCAAGGAGATAAATCAGAAAGTGATTTAAAAGAGTATCAATTTTTATTATCTGCCTCATGTTCTCTAATTCTCAGAACTTTCCCCCAAGTTTTATGTCACTTAACTGCCAAAAGGATCAAGAGAGCCCTTAGTATGGCTTTAAACTTGTCCCCTTTGCTACAACTGGTTGGAATAAGGCAAGCCATCTAGTCTAGCAGTTCTATGTTCTAGGAAAAGAGGCATTGAGTTCCAGGTTAATTAGAAAGAGTCGAGTGGTGAAGATGTAAGTCATGTACACCTAAAGCTGGAAGTGAACTTTTTCCATATGCAAATGGAAAGGAAGGGAAAGAAATCAACCAACAGAACCCAAGAAGCATAAAACAAATACCTGAACAAAGCAAGAAGAAAAGACTACACTACCCTGAAAATCAGGGTTCCTCTTTAGTGCCTACGTATACCAGCTTCTCATTACCTCTGCTTCCTGCCCTTGAGGTCCGTGAGCAACACTGGTATCTTCCTGTAGCAAAACCTCTTCAGTTGTAAACTAACTTACTTGTTTGTTTGAAGTTTTGTTGCTGCTGCTGCTGCTGCTGCTGTTACTGCTACTTTTTCTACTCTAGCAAAGAAATGTCAGAACTACAGTCATCTTGGGAAGGCAGCAGCAATATAATGTGAAAGTATTTTCTCTCAACAGACTTGAATAAGAGGAGAGGCACGGAGAGTAACTGAGGAAGCAGAGTAATGCCATCTCTAAGCCAATACTTACTGAAGTCTGAACCCTATTATAACAGCTTTATAACTGGTAAGATGTCATCTTCAGCTCACCAGGGCCCACAAGAGTGCACAATGAGAAGGCCACAGTGCCCAGGCCATCAAACCTGCAGAGGTTCTAATCTGCAGTTGAATATTTACCTGCGTCCATGTCTAAATCTCATGGGGACGTTGTTTGGAACCTACTGCTATCATAAAGCATTAGCGAGGAGCTGGTGCGTGCACAGTCTGGTGATGAACTGGGGCATACCGGGCAAGCTGGGGACCAAGGTGGGTCCTCCAGCATATGCCCTTTTGGTCTGAGCTAGTTTGTGTGTGTTCCTGTGCCTTCCTTCCTTCTTCTCTCCTAACTGAACATGAGTGACCTCTCTTTTGTACTTAGCAGACTCTACTTCTTCCATGAACCTCTCCAAATCGGTACTGATGTCTGCCTCCTCTGACCTCCAGGTGAACTTACTGGTAGGAATCACTCGTTGGACTTGGAGATGAAAGATGTTAAGGCCAGCACTAAGTGCTTAGCTCCAGCAACTGGGTGAGAGGTGCTACCGTTCACAGAGAGGAGGAGGACCCAGAAGGAGCAGGTCTGAAGCTGAGGAGCAGTGAATAGAGGTGGAGAATGGCATTAGAACATAAGGAAACCTGCAGTGGAATTGTGGAAGGCCTTGATTCCTGGTTCCCGAACTTGGCCTTGTAAAGTCGTAAAATGTCGTAAAGAAGGAGAATTGCACGTTGGAGCCTGTGTTTCAGAAAGTAAATCTGGGGCTGGGGATTTAGCTCAGCGGCATAAGTACCCGCCTTGCAAGCAGGCAGTCGTGAGTTCGATCCCGGATACCGATAAAAATGAAAAAGACAAAAAAAAAATTAAAAAAAAAAAAAAAAAGAAAGTAAATCTGATGAAAGCATAAACGATCAAATAAGATAATCAGAGGTGAAAAACCTCTTCTCATTTTAGGTATCGACTAGGAGACTGCGGGTGTGGAGGCATGAGGAGAAAGGTACCAACTATGGCAGCAGTGAGGACCTGAAAATCTAAATAGCACAGAGACAGAATTTAGTAATCGATTATAAGTGTGTATAAGGAAGTGGGAAAAATCAAATAAAACTCTAAGATTTTGCCCTGACATAAAGGGAAGAATGGTTTTACATAGGTATGTCTTACCCCATTACCTAAGGCCGAGTGATGTTTTTGGAGTTGTTCTTTTTTTTTTTTTTCCAAGACGAGGTCTTGCTACATAATTTATGCTGATCTTACGTTCACTATGCCTCAAACTCACAGCAATCCTCCTGCCTCAGCCTCCTGAATGCTGGGATTACAGGCATGTGCCACCATGCTTAAAAGAGGTTGAATAATTTATAAACATTTATTTTACACAGCTCTAGAGACTGAGTAAACCAAGATCAAGGCAGACTTTTTGGCCTGAAAACAGAGTCTCTGCAACCCAGATGGTGCCCTGAGTGCTACACCCTCTGGAGTGGAGAAAGCTGCTCCTCACCTGACAGAGAGTAGAAGAAACCCCCTCATAGTGCAGACAAACCCCTTTACAGTAGAATCAACCCATTCGTGAGGGTGGACCCCTCCCAGTACTGTTACCTTAGTGATTAAAATGCAGCACAAGTTTGTAAGGACCAAAAACACTTAAACTCTGTCAACTTTTAAATTCCTTAGAAGAAAATCCTTGAAGGTGATTCACTTCTCCCACTCTGACCACTAATAAAACTATAAATTGCACAATTATCATACAATTTCTGGGGCTGGGGATTTTAGCTCCGCGGCATAAGCACCTGCCTTGCAAGCAGGCAGTCGTGAGCTCAATCCCCGGTACCGATTAAAAAAAAAAATCAGCCAAATATAATTTCTGACCAAAATCTGAAACTAATATCAATAACTATCAGTTGTTGCAAATTCATTTTTTAATTTAACAAAGTCATAAAT